CTTTTGGAATACCAAGAATTTAACAACCACCACCACCACAACTGAAAAAAATAGTTTATATAGCAGATATATAAAACTGAAGGGAAGAGAATTAAACCAAGGGTGAAAACCAATTACAGAATAGTAGTATAAGTAGCATTTCCCCATCCCAGGTATTGCCTAGTTACAGTGACGGTGGTTTTATTCACCAAGAACTGTACTACTTTATAGAACTTAGAACATTTCTAAATATATTATACTAGGGGCCCGGTGCATAGGATTTGTGCACTGGTACACTGTGACAGTGCCACTCATCCCAGTCAGCCGAGCGGCTGTGGACCTGGCCTCTGAGTGGCTGCTCCCGCTGTGGGAGCACCGCTCATTCTGGTCAGCTGAGCGGTGCTGTGGGAGCGCACTCACCACCAGGGGGCAGCTCCTGTGTTGAGTGTCTGTCCCCTGAGAGTAGACCAGCGCCTGTCATAGTGAATAGTCAACCGGTTGTTCTGGTCGTTTCACCTTTTGGTCACTGGGCTTTTATTATATAGGATAGTTTTGTAAAGTATTTTAAGTAAAAGTTTTAATAAGTGACATGAATTGATACCCTAATGTAGGGGTGTCGAACTCAATCAGAGAAGGGGCCAAAATCTAAAATCCAGCCTAAATCGCGGGCCGAATGGTTTACTGAACAGTCATAAACTGTCATTGTGATGGAAACGCAGCGGAGTGCAGTGATGACAGCGCGGTGCGGGCCACATTGCAAGGCCTGGCGGGACGGATTTGGCCCGCGGGCCTTGTGTTTGACACATGTGCCCTAATGTGTATATTCTGTTTAACTATTTTGGGGTAACCCATTTCAGCCTTTCTTTCCATTCTAGAAAACTTGTGGTATTCTACCATTTAGAAATGGTTGGAATGCCATGCAGTTTAGAATTGTTGACTCATTCATTCTTATTTTTAAGTGTCAACAGATCTATTTCTAACACTAAATTATTATCTGTATTTTATCAGTGTTATAAGATTTTTTGACTATGAGATTTTGTAAAGGATCATTAGTCCCTTGCAGTAGAAATTCACTTTTAGCCAATACAGGTGGTTTTCTGTGTTTGTTTGCTTTAAAACAATTTCCCAATCTTTTTAGATATAATGTCTTTGTTAAGGTGAAAATTTTCATAACTGTCTCCTGCCCCATAATATCAGTTGTATTTTCTATTTTTATCCATTGACTATATAAAATAAGATAAAATTAATGATATGTATGAATATATGAGTTCATGATGTGCAATCAAACAGTTAAGGAGGAAGTGAACCAACATTGAATGAAAGTCTGCTATGTGCCAGGCACTGCGTTATTTTCCCATTTCTCATAATAGCCCTGTGAAGTTAGATGTTACTTTTCACCATTTTCATATAAGAAAACTGAGGATCAAAGAGGTTAATCAACTATCTCAAGGTTATACAGCTAGTAAGTGGCAGGATAGGATATGAAACTAATTTTGACTAAAAGAGTTCTTAACCATATTGCTGCTCCATCATTTAGATATCAGAAATTGAGGAACTGCAACTTAAAGAAATGGTTTATATTCTTAGTATTTGTGATAATTTTCAGAGTCTTCAGATGCTTCAAGGTATGTTTAAGAATTCTTAAACTTCAAAGCACAGTTCATTTTATTTTATCCTAACTCAGAAAGGAAGGAAGGAATACTGTGTAATGAAATTTAAGCTGTAAGCATTACCATTCTGAGAAATTGCTGCCTTAAAATAAAGTAGGCTTTGGTGAGAGAATAAAAGCAGTTTTCAGAAAATTGGGTGATTTCCTAAGAAGAATTACCAAAGCTACAAAGTGTTGCATGTAAGGTGTACATCAGATGTAGACCAAGAGAGTTCAAGGGGTACTTGCTAATGACTTCACAGTCAGTATGATGAAAGTCTGTAGAAGTACATGATAAGGAGAAGGCTAGCTAGAGACACAGCCAGATCAGGTACAAGGATAAAAAGCAGATACCAAAGATCACTGCATTTGTTTTTATTGAAGAGTGCCAAGAGAAATTTGTTTTTAAAGTTTCTTTTAAAGTAGATAGTCAGAAGTTTTTCTGACTTGAGAACTTAAAAGTTATTAGGCTGCTTTGACCAGGCAGGATCTTCCCAAGATTTTTCTAATAACTTTTATTTTTCTTCTGAATTTTTGTTGCTGTTATTAATCCTTACCTTTTTTTTTTTTTTTCCATTGACTTCTAGAATAAATGAAAATGATGGTGGGAGGAGGGAAGAAGGGAGGGAGGGAGGGTGGAGAGGAGGAAGAGAGAGAGAGAGAGAAGAGAGAGAAAGAGAGAAAGATTGAGAGAGAGAGACATCGATTAGTTACCTTTTTCATGTGCCTCAACTGAGACCCAGGACTAAGCCTGAAACCCATGTACCAGCCCTTGGCTAGGAATTTAACCCGAGACTCTTTGGTACAGGGGCTGATGCTCTAACCACTGAGAACGCAGGCCAGGGCTTCTATATATGCAGAGTGTTCCCTCGGAAGTTAGACTGGGAATTCGATCACTCACTATGACGTGTGTTGACCACCAAGGGGCGGCATAGAACATGGTAGGTGACCAGTGGTGGTGGCAGGGTGCTGAGGGAGTGAGGGAAGAAGGAGTTGGAGAACTGCATGGTGGTGGCATGTGGGTGGCAAGGGAAAGGGGAGGCTGGGAGGTATGGAACCTAATAGGCCCTGACCACTGGCCAGGCCTAGGGACCCTACCCATACATGAATTTCATTTACTGGGCCTCCAGTCCTATATAATACAAACCTAATATGCAAATTGTCCCCTAGGGCGGTGGTTTGAGTGGAAGTTTGACTGGGTGATTGGGAGTCCAACTGCTCACTATGATGTGCTCTGACCACCAGGGGGTGGCATGGAGCATGGTGAGTGAGGCGATGCAGCACTGGCAGTAGGTGGCAGTGGAGGCGCTGCCAGCCCTGATGGGTCCCTATGAGAGCAGGACCACAGCTGGATGGTGGAGCAAGTGTGCGGGCAGCACCAGGCCAAGGCGGTGTGAGCAGGGTGCCAAAACACCCCAATGATTGTCCCAAAGACTGTGGGGGGGCAGGGCCGTTGTCCACCTTCCAGGTGCTGAGGGAGAAAGGGCAAATAGCAATACTAAAATGTTTCTTCTAATTATTTCCTTTTCAATGTGCATGAATCTGTGCACTGGGACACTTGTTTAATAATATCATATGGTAATTGTAATAGCTACAATTTATTAAATATTTACCACATGTAAAATACTGGGTGATTTGTATGGATGTCCTCATTTGTGAAAATTCATACCAACTTGAGGAAGTAGACATCATTATTACCCTCATTGTGTAGGTAAGGAAACAGCAGTATAGAAAGGTTAAGTAACTTGACTAAGGTGAAGGACTTGACAGGAAGAGAGCCAAATTTCAATCCATATTTCTTTAATATATAATCCAAAGACATTCTCATGATAAAATGTAGGTACTAAGAATATGTAATTACTGTTAACATTTTGGTTTACATCATTTTGGTTGTTTTTCTGTTTGTATATATGGTACATTTTGTTATAATTTGCTTTTATTCTATATTTAGCATATTGTCTGTAAATTTTCTTCAATATATTATGCAATTGTTGATGCATATTTCAGATATGTCCTAATTTATTTACTTATTCACCTACTTTTGTGTATTCTAATTGTTTCCAGTGTTTATGTTATAAATAATGCAGTGATGATATTCTCACATATAAGTTTATGCACTTCTCTGATTATTTTCTTAGGATAATTTTTAAGATTGTAGTTATATCAGCAGGTTACTAAATAAATGCAAACAGTTACTTAAAAGATTATTCTTAAGAAATCACTGTGTAAATCAAGGATTTAAATTTGGAGAATTTTATAATTATATTAGAGAGTAGAGAAGTACTCATTTGTCATAAGCCTAAGAGTTTTGTTTCTTATTATGTTTGGCTTTTGGTTTTGCTTTGCTTTGTTTCTGTTTTGCCCTCCTATTTACTCTAGTATTGCTGTAGAAATGAATGCTTATCTGTAGTTTAAAATAAATTAAGTGACTTTGAAGTGGAACATATATAAATTAGTTAGTTTTGCCTTTCCTTTTTACTTAATTTAAGGTTTTCATGGAAATTGGTGTTTTGAAAGAAGTTTAGATTTTTTGTTTTTGTTTTTGGCAACAGAATAATAATGGTAAGGGCTAGGTAGATAAGTGGATTGATTCAGTTTAGATATGAAAATCTGTGAAAGTCATGTTGGCTTGTATTGAAAAATTTAGAGAATGATAATTGTAAAAATTCTCTTTCTAAAGTCATTTTACCATTTCTGATACTTGAGTATAAATTCCCTTCCCCTCCTTTTGACCTGCATATTTAACCCCTCTCCCAAATTATGATCTTCCAGCAATCTTTCTTGTTTCCTCTCTTTTATCTCTTCCACTTATTATTGTTTACATTCAAAGAGCTTTTCTGGAAATTGAATCAAATAATAAGGCAGCATAAAACTCTGATTTCAGCAGAAAGTGATTTGCTTGTGATTGACCCTTAAGAATTGAATCACTATAAGATAAAGAAAGCATGTTTTTTGGACAATCTGCTCATACTTTTCCACTTACGTGAGACTTTTATTTTTTATTTTTTAAATAATGCTTTGCTTGGGTTTTTGTTTATCATCTCATAATGGCATGTTCTTAGAAAAAGAAGTCCAAAAGAGAACTTATGGCATCCTTTCTGCCCCCAGTCCTCTCAGTCTTTCAACAAAAGGCAATTCCTTTAAGGCAGTAGCCTTAGCATCCTTTTTCTCCCTCAGCTTTAATTGACAAATGGAACATTGTATATATTTAAGGTATACAACATGATTTGATATATATACACATTGTGAAATGATTACCACAGTAAGCTAATTTACACATTAATCACCTTACCGTTACCTTTTGTGTGTGTGTGTGTTTGTGTGTGTGTGTGCGTGTGCGTGCATGTGTGTTTGGATGTAATGAGATCACTTAAGATCTACTCTCTTAGCACATTTCATATTTAAAACATAAAGTTTGACCAACATTGGCCTATTTCTCCTACCCCCAGCTCCTGGAAACCATCATTCTACTCTGTGCTTCTAAGAGTCTCACTGTATTTTACATTTTTTTAAATCCATTCATCTGTTAATGAATACCAATTTCTCTCTTTCTTTTATACCTCATATCTAATCTCTCCGCAAATCTTGTTGGTCAGACTATATCCAGAATCTGATAACTCTTCCCCATCTCCATCGCTAATCACTTTGGTCAAAACTACATTATATCTTTCTTGGATTATTTTAATAGTTTCCTAACTCACCTCCATGCCTCTGCCTTTGACATGTTTGATGTCAATATGACAACTAGGGATCATTTTAGAATTCTAAATAAGATTACCTTAAGCCTCTGTTCAAAACAGTAATGTCTCATTTCATTTTGGAAAAAAAAAAAAGAAAAAAAAGTTAAAGTCTTCATTTTGACCCCTAAGGCCTGTGATAGTCTAATCTTCAGGTTACCTTTCTGACCTCATTTCCTATTCTTTCTTTACCCCATTTCACATTCTGCTCTGTGCACACTAACCTCTGGGCTGTGCCCAAGTATAGGTTCTGCCTTAGAACCCTCAACCATGTTCCTCTACCCACAGTGATTTTTCCTTAGATATTTCTTCATTTCCTTTTTTCTCTAAAGGCACCTTTTCAGTGAAGCTCTCCTTGCTCACTATGAATGTGCTGCTCTCTCCATACTTGATTTACTTTTTCTATGTAGCCCACACTCTATGGTATATTTTCCTTACATAGATTGCTTGTATTTGGTCTCATGTTAAAATGTAGCTTCACAAGGATAGGGAAATCCCCAGGGACTTCGAATTGTGATTGGCAGTTCTAATAAGCACTTACTGTTTTTTGAAATCAGTCAACCAATCAGAGATAGGAGATGGTCTCCAAATGGCTACTTGATAAATTACCTAACTCTTTTATTGGGAGTTTATTTTTGTTAATGTTTGTTTAGCAAGTCAATTATTTCTTTATGCTTTCAAACTGTGGATTATCTTTCTTTCATTTTTATAATAAAATTTACCTGACTCAAATATTTTTATCAATATCACATAAATTTGGTATGCACATTTTTATCATGTTTGTTTTCCATGATGACCACGATGCAATTGTAAAAAACTGAATTTACAAATATGGTATAAAGACAATGTTTTCTATTTTCCCAGTCTGGCCCAATTATAAAAGAATTTATTGGTGGTTTGTAACTGGTTTATTTTTAGGTATATATGTGCACATATTTCTAGAAAGATCATCTTGTTCTACATATGTGCTAGCCCAGTTTTGTACAGCATGTGCACACACACACACACACACACACACGTGTGTGTGTGTGTGTGTGTGTGTGTATTTATTATATAGGATATATGTATATGTGTATATCCTATATAATAAAAGGCTAATATGCAAATTGACTAAATGGAGGAATGAGATTGGTTGCTATGATGTGCACTGACCACCAGGGGGGCAGACACTTAGTGCAGGAGCTGCCCCTGGTGGTCAATACCCTCCCATAGTGGGAGTGCTGCTCAGCCAGGAGCCAGGCTCATGGCTGGCAGGTGCAGTGGAGGTGGCAGGAGCCTCTCCTACTTCTGTGGTAGTGCTAAGAATGTCTGACAACCATCAGTAGGACATCCCCCTGAGGGCTCCCGGACTGTGAGAAGGTGCATGCTGAACTGAGGCTCCCCCCACCCCGCCCCCTGCAAGTGCATGAATGTTGTGCACTGGGCCTCATACACGCACGCGCACACACACACACACACATTAACTCTTCTGCAGGCTTAGAAAATATTAGTTATTTTTATTTATTTTTTAAAAATATATTTTTAGTGATTTCCGAGAGGAAGGACAGGGAGAGAGAGATAGAAACATTAATGATGAGAGAAAATCATTGATTTATTGCCTCTTGCATACCCCATGCTGGGGATCAAGCCAGAGCCTGCAACCTGCATTTGTGCCCTGACTGGAAATTGAGCCGGGACCTAATGGTTCACACCAGTCGGGCTGTTAGTTATTTTTCTAATCCATATACATCTGACTCTTCAAAGAAGATGTTTTAAAATTAAAACTTGCCCAAGGCAGTCTTGTAAATATTTTCTTTTTAAGAAAAGAACAAAGAAAAGTACCTTGTATGGCATCTATACTTACCATTCACTGTTTCCTACATATGTGTAACATATATGGCAGTTTTGACTTAGGCCAGTGTACAGGTATATACAAACCTTTCAGAAAATAAAAACTGTCTGATTTTTATTTTCAGCACACATTTTAATTTTTTCTAAGTCAAAGAAATCACAGCATTTCTCTACTTTCTATAACTGCACAGATGTACCATGCTGTCAGTCAAGTTGTTTGAGCAATTTTAGACATTTAACCTAGTATTGCCTATTTGGTAGAAAATAACTATACTTATGATACTAACACTATTTACCATTTTGCTTTGAAATTGCCTTTTCAATGTCATTTGTGTCATCTGTTACTGGCAATTTAGATTTAAAGCATCATTGTTTAAAAATATTCAAATAAAAATTGAAGTACATCTTTGTTCTTGCCACTGAATCAAATACTATGTTGCATATGTAAAAGAAACAAAATAGATTCTGGTAACTTTTGGATACAATACTGATGTTTAAGTAAATGTGAAATAGCATAGTGATAAAGTGTATGTGAACTTTTTTCAACAGAAATACAGATGTTGATGGAATTTTCTATTAACATAGCTATTCTAAATGAACTTTGGGCTATTTAAAACTGCTGTGAGTTAAATATTATTTTACTTTTAAAAATTCAAATAAAAGTTAGGTCAGAGTTCTGTGTGAACTACTTGCTCAGGTATCAGATTGATTGTATTTTACCACCTATTTCCTAAATTTGCAATTAGTTTCTTTTCTATTTGGGTCATTCACAAATGTGGATGATTGGGGGAACTTGTGTTAGAATTCTCTAAATTTGGGTCTGAAAAAAACAAAAACAAAAACCAATGACTAGTGAATGAAAAAATGTTAGGTAGTAGATACATATTTTTTTCTTTCTGGGAAACAAATCGTATTCCTGTTTTGGACCAGTTAACATTAAAGGTTTAAATTAATTTAGTACATCTAACAGCCTTAGTATTTTTATACAAAACTTTGAGGACTTTTATTCTTATTTCAGAGGACAAAATCTAGTTGTGTAGAACACATTACATATATATTTTTAAATTTCAAGTTGGGCTCAGCTTCCAGGTAATATATGTTTGTTTGTTTCAGTTGTTTATGCTAAAAAATATAAACTGATTTAATATCAAGTTAATTAAAATACAATTAAAGAGGTAGATCAGGTACAACACCTTTACAACAAGGAATTTTAGTTCCAATAAAGAAATGAGACTTTTATTAACTGTGCTATACTTTGTCTTCTCAGTATGGATCATTAAGATTTGATTGCATAGTTTTTATTCATTTATTGAACATTTTTTTGCTCTAGTGATCTACCTAATTTGGGTTTCTTTTTGTTGTTTTTAAAGGTGTATTTATCTTTCAATAAAGTTGGTCTTTAGAGATAGAGATCAGTTCTTGGGATCAAAATTCTTTTTCTTGTATTATTGAATGAATAAAAAATGTATATATAAACAGCAGGTCCTTGTTCTAGAGCTTAAAGGTGAATGAGATACTCCCCTGGACCTCAGTGAGCTTGCTATTTATTATTTTTTTATTTATTATTTCAGGGGTTCTTATGTTGGGGTTTGTGGACTATATGCATATATACATGTATGTGTATATATGTATATGCATATATACATGCATGTATATATGTATATATGTATATACACACACATCTATACACACACGTATATATATATTTCTGGTTTACTGTGGTATCCTTAGATTTCATCATATTTTTAAAAGGCTCTTGATATCTACAAAAGCTAAAGGAGGCTATACAAACTATGATGTTTGTATCAGTGAGGGTCCTGGTAGTAATAGATAGATGGCCTTTTTTGAAGATCGTTTAATAAAGGGACTATTTGCAGAGATGTGGGCTTGGTTAGGTAGTAAAAAAGGGATGATCATTCTGTCAGGGACTTGGAACAGTTGAAAACTGTTAACCACCCAGGCAAACGGAGAAGGAAGGGGATGGTAATTATATTTTAGAACTCAAGTTGTTGGCATGGAAGAAGAGCCACAAAATAGGAGCAGTGTCCAAAGAGGAAACAAAGCTGGGGATAATTTGTACTATTATTTCTACCTCCTTCCACTTTTTGCTTTTTTGCTATGCTTCCTGTTGAGAAAGGCAATGTCACGTGCACAGGCTTTTGACTTTGCCTACTCAAGCTTCCAACACTTCCTTACTAAAAGATGAGGAGCCACTCTGACTTTGCTCAGTTTATCACCTTCCTGGGACTATTAGTCCCTGTTTCAGGCTCTTGAAGTGGTCTTTGTTCGTGCACTGGTGGTGGGCAAGGCCTGTGGGGGATCTGCTCACTGTTGGAGCACCATTCATCCTGGTCAGCAAGTGGCAATCCCACTGTGGGTGCACACTGACCACCAGGGGGCAGCTTCTGCCTTGAGCATCTGGTGATCAGTGTACATCATAGCGACTGGTCAACCAGTGGTTCTGCTCGTTCTGCCATTCATTTGCTGGGCTTTATATACACTCAGTGGACAGATTATTATGATTTCTGAATGCTTTATAATCTGGCCACTCAGTATCTAACCTAATAATAGAGTAATATGAAAATTAGCCATCACTCCTCCGCTACACAAGCCACTCCCACCAGCCAATCAGAGTGAGTATGCAAATTAACCCAACAAAAATGGTAGTTAATTTGTATACATAGAGCACCTGTGTCAAACACAAGGCCCGCGGGCCAAATCCGTCCTGCCAGGCCTTGCAATGTGGCCTGCACTGCGCTGTCATCACTGCACTCCGCTGCGTTTCCATCACAATGACAGTTTTGACTGTTCAGTAAACCATTCGGCCCGCGATTTAGGCTGGATTTTAGATTTTGGCCCCTTCTCTGATTGAGTTCGACACCCCTAACATAGAGGGAGGGAGAAATGAAGACTGAAGACAGCATAGAAGGAAGAGGGAGGGAAAGTGGAAAGCAAGGGGGCTGTGGCTTCTGGAGGAAAAGCAATGGCAGCGCATGCAGGACGAGGTGGGGGAGAGTGCAGCAGCGGTGGGAGGTCCCAGAGGCGGCAGCAGTGTGCACAGCCAAGGAGGCAGGAGCAGTGGTGGGTGCAGAGGGTCGGGCATACGGAACAAGGTGTGCAGCAGTGGTGGCAGTGCGCGTGGCCACGGAGATGGTGGTGGCGGTGGCCACAGGTGAGGCAGGCGGGAGAGGTGGGGGGGGTCGGAAGAGGTGGCAGTGGTGGGAGGGAAGCCCAGTGGAAGTCTTGCAGGAATATTCCTGCAACAGGTACATAGTATATATATAATTAGGGCCTGGTGCATGAATTTGTGCATGGATGGGGTCCGGCCAGCCCGGCCAGGGGGAAGGGACTTGGACAGTTGGCCGGCCTGCCTGCTGGTCATACTCCTGGTTGAGGGGACCATTTGCATATTAGCCTTTTATTATATAGGATATACACTGAGTGCCCAGATTATTGTGCATTCAGAGATCATAATAATCTAGCCACTCAGTGTATATAGATAATAGCTAGTCCTATATAATAAAGAAGGTATATGCAAATTGACTATCAGTCTGTCACAAAGATGGCTGCACCCACAGCTGAGGCCAAGTTCCCATAAGAGCCTTAACGAGCAATCAGCAGGGACTTGAGTCTATGCCCTCTCCCTCCCCATAGGGCTTGACGGGGGACCTCAGGCCGTGTCACCCACCTGGAAGGGCTTGACAGGGACCTCAAGGTGTGTTTCCTGTCCTGGTGCTGGAGTAGGGGACCTCAGGATGCTCCCCCTATCCCAGCACCAGGCCTGGGGACCTCAAACCACACCCCCTCAGGCTGTGCTACCCACCCCAACACTGGACCAGGGCACGTGAGGCTGTGCCTCCCTGCTTGGCTGGGCTGGACAGGGGACCTCAGGCCGTGTCCCCCACCCAGTGGGTCTTGACAGAGGACCTCAAGGCACGCCCCGCCTTCACCTTGGTCTGGGCTGGGGGATCTCAGGCCATGCCCCCGGTCCTGGTGCTGGGCCAGGGGACATGCCTGGAAGGGCTTGACAAGGGTGGGACTGGCCAGGTCTAGATCTAGCCCAATGGGGAGGGAGAGGGCGCAGCTGGGTCTGGGACTCAAGCGATTTTGAGGTGCATGTGGGTGGGCAGGGACTTGACTCTAGGTCCCATGGTGTGCCCCAGACTCTGACAGGGGGAAGGTTTTTATATACATTTTACTAATTTTCTTTCATCTCTAATACTTCTATTATAGGGAGAGGGCAAATAGCAATATTAAACTATTTTCCTCTAATTAATCCCCTTTTAATGTGCATGAATTTCATGCACAGGGCCACTAATAGGTAATACAAAAGCTCTGGGTTGGAATGAATTCAAATTAATGCAAATTGAATGAAAATCTAGAGTTATTTTAGTTCACTGAAAACTAACTGATATAGTGCACAGCAGATATAATCCCATCAAGTACAGATTTTTTTTTAAGTTCTATGACAGAAGAACTTGTAATATTTAACATAATTATTTACATTACTAGAAGCCAGATGCATGAAATTTGTGCACGTGGGGGGGAGTGTCCCTCAGCTCAGCCTGCACCCTGTCTAATCGTATCCCTCTCACAATCCAGGACTGCTGGTTCCTAACCGCTCCCCTGCCTGCCTGCCTGCCTGATTACGCCTAACAGACTGATCCCCCCTAACCACTCCCCTGCCAATCTAATCAACGCCTAACTGCTTCCCTGCCAGCCCGATTACCCCTAAATGCACTTCCCTGCCAGCCTGGTCACCCCGAACTATCCTCCCCTTTATGCCTAGTTGCCCCTAACTGCCCTCCCCTGCTGGCGTGGTCATCCAACTGCCCTCTCCTGCAGGTCTGGTCACCCCCAACTGCCCTTCCCTGCAGGCCAGGTACCCCCCAGTTGCCCTCCCCTGCTGGCCTGGTCCACCCAACTGCCCTCCCCTATATGCCTGATCAGCCCTAACTGCCCTCCCCTGCAGGCCTTGGTCCTCCCCTCCCCCCAATTGCCCTCACCTGCCAGCCTAGTCACACCTAACTGCTCTCTCCTGCTGGCCTGGTTTACCCAACTGCCCTCCCCTGCAGGCCTGGTCATCCCCAACAACCCTCCCCTGCAGGCCTGATCGCCCCCAGACCCCAATTGCCCTCTCGTGCCGGCCATCTTGGCCATCTTATGTCCACATGGCCATCTTGTGTGTGGGAGTGAATGTCAATTTGCATATTACCTCTTTATTATATAGCATTAAAAATGATTTACTTTTAAAACCTAGTGTATAATACTGTTATAATACTGTAAGTGATTGTTATTTTTTTCTCCATAGGCAAGAAGCTTGATAGCTGTAGGACTGGGTGTTGCAGCTTTTGCATTTGCAGGTGAGATAAATAAAGCTAACATATGAATAAATATTATAAAAGAAATTTTTCCGAATCACTCCTTAATAAGCAGACTCTTCATATTTTAAGGTTTTGAGTTTTAAGACATACATTCCCATTTTCTTCACCATATATAATTATTAAACATTTTTCAGTATAGCAAAATCTAGATAAACTTTGTAGTGAAGAAAAGTGATGATACAAAATTTAGGAAAACTACCCCCAATAATAGTGGATATTCCTGGCAATTTTTAGTCTGAGATATTGTGTACTTTTTTTTTTTTAAGTATATTTTATTGATTTTTTACAGAGAGGAAGGGAGAGAGATAGAGAGCTAGAAACGTCGATGAGAGAGAAACACCGACCAGCTGCCTCTTGCACACCCCCTACTGGGGATGTGCTCACAACCAACGTACATGCCCTTGACCGGAATCGAACCTGGGGCCTTTCAGTCCGCTTACCGACACTCTACCGCTGAGCCAAACCGGATTCGGCAATATTATGTACTTTAAATAAAAGATCTTTAATATGAAACATTATAATTGGTATGGGATTTCTTTATTCTTCCATATTTATTTCTTCTTGAAGGTAGTATTAAACATTTCCTGTGCTGTCAGTTCTTTCTGGTGAGTGTAGTTGTTCCCTGTAGTGTATTTATTACTTCATTTTAAAAATATTGGTGTATTGTCTTTGATAAACTGCCAAAATCACTTTTTTTTTTTTTTTTTAGAAAGAATGCTTATAAAGAGTGAAAGCAAAATTGCTGTCTCTTCAATTTATAGTTTAGAGTCATCAACTTATAATTTTAAATTGCATAGCTACTCCCTAATTAGTGTTTATCTTAGAGCATTTCCTTGTTGATAAAGATTCACAATATTTTCTTTTAGCATTTGTATCTAAATTCCATGGATTTGCTCTTGTTAATTGGATGATCTTTTTGGGTGAATTTACTTTCCATTGTGATTATATGGGGTTTAGTGAGATCCAAGAGAAAACTGAGGGGAAAACAAAGATTTTTGTTTTGTTTTATGTACTATTTAATTTTGTACAAGTGTTGCTTAAAGCACTGTAATAATAAGACTTTAAAATCAAGATCAGTGACTCAGATTCTCTTGGTCTTTATTCTCTTGATCTTGGCCAGCAAGATCTTGTGTTTCATTACATAAATTACTGAGTTTTCCTGAGAAGAATATTGTATCTAAATAGAATTCTGGTAAACTTGCCACATAACTAACTATAAAACAGTTTTAGTAATAATTCCTATAGGAGAATGGACAGTTATTTGAAATTAGAGAAAGATGTACTTTTGCTAGGGCCTTTCTAAAATCAGAATTGGTATTTATATTCTGTACATACCACACTGTTGCCAAATTCCTGTTACTAAATAGAATTCTATATAATAAAAGGCTAATATGCAAATTGTCCCCTTGATTGGAAGTTCCACCAGAAGTTCAACGGCAGCTGGCTCTATCCCCTGTCCCCAATTGGGGATAGGACTGGCCTGCCAGCTACCCTTAGCCCCTCACCCCTGGCCAGCCCTGATCAGATCAGGCTGGCTGGACCCCACCCATGCACGAATTTGTGCACTGGGCCTCTTGTCTACATATATAAAAGACCAGTGACCAAATGGCAGATCCACCAGAACAACTGGTTGACCAGTCACTATGACGTGCACTGATCACCAGGGGGCAGACACTGTGCAGGAGCTGCCCCCTGGTGGTCAGTGCGTTTTCACAGTGAGAGTGCCAGAATGAGTGGCTGCTCCTGCAGCGGGAGCAGCTGCTAGCAGACCCATGGTGAGGTTGAGTCTCTGCACCTATCAGATACCTGAGACAATCCAGACTCCAGCCTGACCCCACCAGTTGATGTAGGCCCTCTAAGGTGTGTTCTGGAAAGAGCACCAGGAGCTGGCATAGGCAGGTGGCAAGAGGGGATGTGACTGGACCCCCTGGGGGAGGTTGTCTTGATTGCTGAGGATCCTGGATCATGGCTGCCCTGTCTCAGGATTCAATAACTTTTATTATTAGGATATCTAAAAAAGAAAAGCAAAAAAATAAAATAAATGTTTAGAAGAGTAGTCATCTTCAATGAGAAATTGCTAATAAATATCCTTGTCAGATATTTCTTACATATTGCTTTTTCAGTTTAGAGCTAACTCCTTTAAAATCACTCCTATGTTTTATAGATTCTGAACAGTATTTGCTTTCTATATATTCCAAAGTGATTATCACTGTATAAAGCAATACAAATAATCATTGCAGATTCATGAGTATCTTCATGTTAAAAGATTTTATCTACAGTTTTTGTGACCTATTACATTGTATAAGAAATGTATAACATTAACATTTTTGACTCTATAATGAACTAGAACTTGATAAATTTAATAGTCATGATAATGATATTCAATAAATTTGAAAAAAAATTGAAATAAGCTATATAAAATAAATTATCAATAAATACTATGGTAAGCACTTTGTGGGAATTGACTTTGATTATAGAAAATATATTTGCTTCTATTCCTTTTGCTATTTAGGTCGCTGTGCATTTCAGATCTGGAAACCTCTGGAACAAGTAATCACAGAAACTGCAAGGAAGATTTCAACTCCTGTAAGTTAAAGACAGCTTTCATTAGAAAGTTCATTTTGATTTTTAAGTATCATATTTGATAGTAATTCAAAAAAATGTCTTGAACTTTCCAATTTTGTGGAAGGTTTGCTTCTTTTATTATATCCTCAGAGAGTTTGTCTCATTTATTGATTTAGATCCTTTTAAGCTTCTTGGTCACATTTTAATGTCCAAACTTTTTTATGGTTTTGACATCTACCTATTTCTTACTATTACATTCTTTTGGTATTATTACATCAATTTTGAGGTAATTGATTTTCCTTGTTTAATTAATATACATTTGTTCACTTAGTGACTTGAAATAGAATAAGAATGAAAATAATGACATAGTTCTAAAAAATTTTTCTTTTTATTTTTGTCTCCATTTAAAAAAAATATATATATATATTTTAATATATATATATATATATATATATATATATATATATATATATATTTATTATTATTATTATTTTAGAGAGGAAGGGAGAGAGGGAGAGGTGGAAACATCATTGATGAAAGAGAATCATTGAACAGCTGCCTCCTGCACTCTCCCCTACAGGGGATTGAGCCCACAAACCGGACCTGTACCATTGACCAGAATCAAACCCAGACATCTTCAGTCTGCATGCTCTATCCACTGAGCCAAATCAGCTAGGTCTCCCAATTTTTTTTTTTTTTTCATTTAAAAAAGGTGAATGAATGACATAGTTCCTTTATTTTTTGAAAATATTTCACATTTATTTACACCAAAATTGAATGTTTGATCATCATTCACTCACATTTAAAATCACTCTTACCTGGTGTTCCATTTCTTTTTTATTTATTTATGTATTTTCATTTTCTTTATTGACTAATGTATTACATATCTGTTCGTATCTCCCCTTTGTAACCCCCCACCCTTAGCCCCCTGGTGTCTGTGTCCATTGATTAAGCTTACCAGTACTATTAATAATATATACATGCATACAAGTCCTTTGGTTGATCTTTCCTTCTTACCCAACCCTCCCCTACCTTCCCTCTGAGGTTTGATGGTCTCATCGATGCTTCTCTGTCTCTGGATCTGTTTTTGTTCATCAGGTTAGGTTGTTCATTATAGTCTACAAATGAATGAAATCATGTGATATTTATCTTTCTCTAACTGGCTTATTTCACTTGGCATAATGCTCTTCAGTTCCACCCATGCTGTTGCAAATGGTAAGAATTCCTTCTTTTTTTACAGCAGCGTAGTATTCCGATATGCAGATGTACCACAGTTGTTTTATCCAATCATCTGCTGGTGGGCACTTAGGCTGTTTCCAAATCTTAGCTATGGTAAATTGTGCCACTATGAACATAGGGATGCATTATATACTTTCTGATTGGTGTTTCTAGTTTCTTGGGATATATTCCTAGAAGTGGGATCACTGGGTCAAATGGGAGTTCCATTTTTAGTTTTTTGAGGAAACTCCATACTGTTCTCCACAGTGGCTGGAGCAGTATGCATTCCCACCAGCAGTGCATGAGGGTTCATTTTTCTCTGCATGGTCACCAGCACTTGTCATTTGTTGATTTGTTGCTGATAGCTATTCTGACAGGTGTGAGATGGTACTGCATTGTTGTTTGACTTTTAGCATGTTTTCATATGTCTCTTGGCCTTCCTTATGTCCTTTTTCGAAAAGTATCTATTTAGGTCTGTTGCCCATTTTTTGATTGGATTGTTTATCTTCCTTTTGTTAAGTTGCATGAGTTCCCTATAAATGTTGGAGATTAAACCATATCGGTGATAACACTGGCAAATATGTTCTCCTGTGCAGTGGGCTTTCTTGTTGTTTTGTTGATGGTTTCTTTTGCTGTACAGAAGCTTTTTATTTTGATGTAGTTCAATTTATTTATTTTCTCTTTAGTTTCCATTGCCCTATTTGAATGTGGCTCTTGCACAAAATACCATGTGTGGGCGTACATGTACAGTGTGATTGAAACTTTGTGGCCCATGTGCAGAAGTCGGTTTTCGGCCTGGGCAAGTCTATTTTGAAGAAGTGGCATTAGAACACTCAAGAGGCCACGAGCCACATGTGGCTCGCAAGTTGTGGTTTGACAACCACTGCCCTTGGAGCTCTAAAGGTGAAGATATTGCTTCAGCATATGTCTGAGATTTTGCTGCCTAATATTTTTATGGTTGCCTGTGATACATTTAAGTCCTTTTTCCATTTTGAGTTTATTTTTGTGTATGGTGTAAGTCGGTGGTCTAGTTTCATTTTTTTGCATGTATTTGTCCAATTTTCCCAGCACCATTAATTAAAGAGTCTGTCTTGACTCCATTGTATGTTCTTGCCTCCTTTGTCAAATATTAATTGAGCATAGAGGTTTGGGTTGATTTCTAGGTTCTCTATTCTATTCCATTGGTCTATATGTCTGTTCTTTTGCCAGTACCAGGCAGTTTTGAGAACAGTAGCTTTGTAGTACAGATATCTGGAATTGAGATCCCTCCTACATTGTCTTCTGTCTCAGGATTGCTGCAGCTATTTGGGGTCTTCTTTTATTCTAGACTAATTTTTGGAGAGTTTGTTCTAGGTCTGAGAAATACATCATTGTTATTTTAATGGGGAGTGCATTGAATCTATAGATTGCTTTAGGTAGTATGGGCATTTTAATTATGTTGATTCTACCAATCCATGATCATGGTATGTTCTTCCATCTGTTTATGTCTTCCTCTGTCTTATTTTGCAGGGTCCTATAGTTTTCCAAGTACAGGTTTTTTACCTCCTTAGTTAAGTTTATTCCTAGGTATCTAAATTTTTTTGGTGCAATAGTAAATGAAAATTTAAAAAAAATATATATATTATTTTATTGATTTCTTACAGAGAGGAAGGGAGAGGGATAGAGAGCTAGAAACATCGATGAGAGAGAGACATCAATCAGCCACCTCTTGCACACCCCCTACTGGGGATGCACCCACAACCAAGGTACATGCCCTTGACCAGAATCGAACCCGGGACCTTTCAGTCCGCAGGCCGACACTCTATCCACTGAGCCAAAAACGGTTTCGGCGGGATTGTTTTTTTAATCTCTCTTTCTGTAAGTTCACTATTGTTGTATAAAAATACCTTAGATTTCTTGGCTTTAATTTTGTATCCTGCTACATTGCCAAATTAATTTATTAATTAATGTATTAATTAATGTATTATTAAAAACTAATAATTTTTGGATGGAGTCTTAAGGGTTTTCTATGTATAGTATCATGTCATCTGCGAATAATGACAGTTTTACATCTTCTTTTCTAATTTTGATATCTTTTATTTCTTCTTCTTGACTAATTGCTATCGCTAGCACTTCCAGTACTATGTCAAACAGGAGTTGTGAAAATGGGCTTCCCTGTCTTTTTCCTGTTCTTAGGTGAAATGATTTTAGTTTTTGCCCATTGAGTATGATATTAGCTGTAGGTTTTTCATATAAAGCTTTTATTATGTTGAGGTATGATCCCTCTATTCCCATTTTGCTGAGTGTTTTTATCAAGAAAGGATGTTGGATTTTGTCAAATGCTTTTTCTGCATCAATTGATATGACTGTGATTTTTTTCTTTCAATTTGTTTATGTGATGTATCACGTTTATTGATTTGTGGATATTATACCATCCTGTATCCCCGGGATAAATTCTACTTGATCATGGTGTATGATCTTTCTGATGTAATCCTGGATCTGATTTTCTAAAATTTTATTGAGGATTTTGGCATATATGTTCAGGAGGGTTATTGGCCTGTAATTCTCATTCATTGTGTTGTGTTTATCTGGTTTTGATATAAGGGTAATGCTGGCTTGGAAGTGTTCTTTCCTCTTGCATCTTTTGGATTAGTCTGAGGATAGGTTTTAGTTGTTTGAATGTTTGATAAAACTCCCCTGTGAGGCCGTCTGGCCCTGGGCTTTTGTTTGCTGTAAGCTCTTTGATGACTGTTTCAATTTCCTTTATAGTTATTGTCCTATTGATATTTTTAGATCCTTCTTGATTGAGTTTTGGAAGGTTGTATTTTTCTAGGAATATGTCCATTTTCTCTAGGTTGTCTAGATTGTTGGAATAGAGTTGTTCATAGTATTTTTTTAACAGTCTTTTGTATTTCTGTGGGGTCTGTTGTTATTTTGCCTCTTTCATTTCTGATTTTGTTTGAGTCCTGTCTCTCTGCTTCTTGGTGAGCCTGGCTAGAGGTTCATCACTCTTGTTTTTCCTTTCAAAGTACCTGCTCTTGATTTCATCGATCTTTTTTTTCTTTCTTTTCTCTCTCTCTATGTTAGTTATTCCTGCTCTGATCTTTATTATCTCCTTCTTTCTGCTCACTCTGGGCTTTTCTTGTTGCTCACTTTTTAATTATTTGAGTTGTAGGGTTAGATGATTTATTACTATTCTTGTTTTTTGAGGTAGGCCTGTAGATCTATCAACTTGCCTCTCAAGACTGCTTTCACTGTGTCCCATAGATTTTGAATTGCTGTGTTTTTATTGCCATTCATTTCCAGGATATTTTTCATTTCTTCTTTGATCTCTTTGGTAACCCAGTCATTGTTTAATAGCATGTATTCAGTTTCCAAGTGAATGACATAGTTCTTTAAATAAATGTTTTTGTCTTTACTATATTTATATATAGTATATGGACAATTTACAATTTTTAGAATCTTTTGTCTTATGTTATAGTTGTTTTTATAGTGGAGGCCCATTGCATGAAATTTGTGCACTTGGGACAGGGGTCCTTCAGCCTGTCCTGCGTCCTCTCACTGACTAGGAGCCATCAGTGAGACATCCTTAGTGCTGCTGCAGAGGTGTGAGAGGCTCCCACTAGCGCTGCCATGCTCGCTGGCCGTGAGCCTGGCTTCTGGCTGAGTGGTGTTCCCTCTGTGGGAGCACACTGACCATCAGGATGCAGCTCCTGCATTGAACGTCTGCCCCTGGTGGTCAGTGCAAGTAATAGTGGTTCAGTTGATTTGCATATTAGCCTTTTATTATATATGATGATCATGAATAGAAGACTCCCATGTTTTGTAGAATTACATTATTTAACATTGTAAAGGATGTCAGATTGAGAAATTGAGAAAATTTTCATTTTTCTGTAGTGGCTCACAAATAAGGTAAAATAGTTCAAGAGGTTGTCCTAGGTATACTGAACTTGGCATCTGCATTTTTTGAGAAAGAAATGATGCATGCTCACCTTTCCTTTCCTATGGGTTTCAAATTAAGAAACATGGCTTTTAGTAAATTGAGCCTTGTTTTCACAAAGTAGTTGCAGTTTGCAGTGAAACATTTTAGAATATCTTTATAAAATTTTTCTTAAAGACTTATTTGCTTCCTCTATACTTTAATATCATCTTGTTCTTAAGTCTCATATTTCTTTTTCTCATATTTTTTTTGGTTCTTTTTTCATTTTGCTGGAATACTGCCTACAATAATTTTTCCTATGAGATTCATGGATGATAAATGTTTTCATTTCTTTGTTAAGCAATTTGTTTATTTTGCCTTCACTATTAATTGCCATTTACCTGATGGCTCCTTGGAGTCCAGTGGAAACAGTACTAAAGAAGTATAGTTATCTTCCCTCAGATTGAATCTTAGTGCCCATGTGCATGCTTTCTTATGTCCTCGCAGCCAGATATTTTTGGTACTCAGACTCTCAGCAGATTTTCAGGTGTTCTTATTCCTTGGTACTCTTTTTTTTTTAAATATATTTTATTGATTTTTTACAGAGAGGAAGGGAGAGAGATAGCCAGAAACGTCGATGAGAGAGAAACATCGACCAGCTGCCTCCTGCACATCCCCCACTGGGGATGTGCCCGCAACCAATGTACATGCCCTTGACCAGAATCGAACGCGGGACCTTTCAGTCCGCAGACTGATGCTCTAACACTGAGCCAAACCGGTTTCGGCTTCCTTGCTACTCTTTTGATTTTCTTTTGTTGTTTGTGCTTTTGGCTTTTAGGTTTTGGTGATTTTTGTTTGGTTAGCTCTTCAAATTTAGAGGATTTTCTCTTTATTACTGATGTTCTGAAATTTTAAGGATTTATTAGTGAGTCTTAACTATGTGAAATTGTCTATCTATTGTCTTGTAAGATTCTCTGGCATTTTTTGTTTGTTATTTCCCCCCTATTGTCTCTCTTTTCTGCTCCTGGAACTCTTATCAGAAAGATGTTGGACCTCTTAATCTATCCTTTATGTCTCTTGACATTTTATCTTTTATTTTTTATCTCCTTTATTTTTTCATTCTACATTCCACAGTATTTCCAGAGGTTATTTTCTAGATCACTAGGTTGGCCTTTGAAATGGTCCTTCTGTTATTCAGTCCATCCAGTACATTTTTTACATCAACAATTATTTAATATACAAGAATTTTTCTTGTTTCTTTTTAATAGCAACTTAATTTTATGAATGTGTTATTTCTTAGAATAGTGCTAAAAACACTAATTGGCATTTCTTTCTCTTCTACTTCCTTATTTATCTTCTTCCTTCAAAGCCAGTTGTTAACTGCTCATCTTCTTTTTTCTGAAGGAAATATTTATTGCATATTATTGGTGGTCATATTTTATAGCAAAATTAAATGCATACACTTCCACAAACATAAACTGGAAATTCAGGCATCTATCAAATTTATATGCCGAACCAAAGTTCTGGTTTTCAGAATTCAGGTCAATCATTATTCTGGTTCAGGGCCACCAGTCCACAATTTCTAAGTGTTGAGGATTTTGTCAGTAATTTGAACAAAATCTCTTTATATGTGACAGTTGTTTCCTACATAAAACCCTTTTGGGGGCACATTTATTACCTCCATTTGATCTAATTTACTAGTTGGTCAGGGATTTCATTTGTTGAGACATCTTTTTGTTCTATTTCATCATCTAATGGTTTGTTCTTTTTTCTGGTTGAAAAAAATCAAGGAGCCCAACATGGTCTACGTGCCCAATGTATAGACTGTGGACATCCACTAGCACCAAGACATAGCCTGGTCCAGACTCATGGCCTAGTTGTTCATCTTGGTTTTATTTTTCTCCCTTGATATTGGATTTGTTCAAATACCTGATGATCCTTGGTTATTGATTTATGTTTATGAAGACCAAATTGATTAATATAAGTGGCCTTCCTCAGCAGTTTGGTAGGCTTGGTTCAAAATTTAATTGAATATCGATTAATATTCAAAAGGATTCTAAAAGTATTATTGGTGGTCTTTGAATATATAGGTGGGCCATGTCAACAGTCATGTCTTCCTAAGCATGGAGCCCAGAGGCAGGCTTCGGACCTCCAGAGTCTAGTAGCAGAGTACTACGTGCAACTGCGCCCCTCTCCAGCTTCTGAGATTGGAAATGTGATTTGTTCGTACTCTTCTTTGTTTCTCTTCAGATCTACCACCCACAGTAAGATGCATCACAGATATGATTCTCTGTTTAACCTGAGAGCTAAAGCAGCATGTGGCAGGCTCCTTATGATCTGTATTAATGGAGTTAGGAATGGATTAGTTCTAGTTTAATTACTCTGATATTATTTTTTCTATTTGTTTACTCTGAATTTAGTGAGTTTTTCCCCCTTAATTTCTGAGAAGTATTTCTCTTTTACCTCTGGGGATTAGGGTTGCTATGACTTTTGAGTATGTGCAATCTTATCTGTTTTCAGTCTTCCAGGGTTTTTTTAAACTTTCTGTTTTTCTACTTTTCCCATTTCTTGTTTTCTAGACCTATTGATATTATGGATTTTTGTTGTTTAAAATAACTGTCCTCATTTCAAGGTCACTTTGGAAAGCAAAATATATAAATTATTTAGTCTGCTGTTTTGAACCATTACCCTTTTGTTTGGTTTTTAAAGTATATTAATGTATATTATTGACTCAGCTAATGTCTAATTATCCCCATTTTTTCCTCCGGTGTGGATAAAAAACAAGGCATTTATCTTCTTTTAAGGCTTTTATTTTCCTATATGTGAATTTTCTTTTTACTTGAATACAGTTTTTCAAACTGAACTTCTATTGTTTATAGTTAAGCAAAATTCATGGAAATAACACTAATTAAAATCGTCCTTCTATGGCTCTATAAATTAAATAGATTATTGTACATAATAAAAGTTTACAATTTATGGTAAATAAGACAATGGAATGATATAGTTCTCTGGTAGTCTGGAAGGTATTTTGTATTCCAAGCTATTGACTGAATAAAATAGCATGATTTTTGTAACTTGATTCATTTCATATATGCATCCTTCAATAATTCATTTCATATATGCACTACAACATTTAATGCTAATTTTAGAAGAAAAACAATTTTAATTTCTATTGTTTATATACAAAGTTTGGCAAAAGTAGGTCAATAGTTGTGAGTACATGAAGCAGTTTATTCTTGTATTGTTATTTATTCTTATATATTTTTTCATAGGAACAACTGTAAACCTACTTTTGCTCACCCCTGTATATGCTTTATGTATAGAAAATATAAAATAATGTGTAAAGTTCAAAGTGTATATCAAATAGAGAGCATAATAAAACAGGTGGAATTCCATTGTTTTTGTTCTTGGAAATTTTATTAGAAATATATAACCCCCTACTTTGTCTTTTTTATTATATTGTTGTTCTTTATTAGAATAATCTTATGTTTATGAATCTAAACATTTCCTTAGCCCATTAGTGTTGTCAAAAATGATTCTGCTTTGTGTTATATTTATATATCCTAATGTAATGCGATATTGGTATATTGTAAGCTTGAAAGGACCTTTTAGTTTATTTAAGGGAGGAATCAAGGGATACTTTGTGCTTGCTTATGACACAGATACTAACTTAAATTGAATAATATATTTAAAAACTAGTAACATTTTATTCTACTTAAAATTATGTAATATATGTCCTAAATTTTATATGAGTTTAGAAGGCATGATTTTCACTGAAAAAATGTGTAACATGAGCATTTTTTTTATTTCTGTCTGCTTTTCAGTATAAAGTTCTCAAATGATAAATTTCTATTCTCAAAATGATCTAGTTCTTTTAGAAGGGTTATAATGATTGTACATATACAGATGGACTTACTCATTAAGTAAGTGTATGTTTTAGGCTATGAACCTCATCCAAATGTAGTTTAGTCTTTTCTGAGTTTTTCCTTTTTTTCATATCCCGCATTTAGTCCTCGAAGCAAATGTTAGTTCTGTTTTCAAAATACATCCAGAATTTGACCACTTTTCACTTCCTCCTTTACATTAATTCATTACCACCATCATCTCTTATCTAGATTATTGTTATGCCCTCTTAACTGGTCTATTGCTCCTACTGTTTCATCTTTTTATTCTGTACATGGTAGCTGTTGGAGGAATCCTTTCAAAACAAAGTCAAATTGTGTTACTTCAGTGCTCTGGCTTCTGAGAATAAAATTCTAAACTATTTCCATTGTATAAGGCCTTCCACAATTTGGCCCTATTTACCTCTCTAATACTACTCTCCTTGCTCGTGTGATCTTTCAATCCAGTTTTCTGGCATTGCCTATTTATTATCCTTCCCACTTAGTCAGTTTCTCTATCAGTCTGTCTAGTAGTTCAAAACAATGTCAGTCATATCACATGAACTGATTTGGTCAAGGTTATCCAATGAGAAAATTACTGTAAGACTTAGAAAAAGATCAAGCCTTTTGCTTTTACTGACCTCATATTCTTTCAGTTATATCTAAGTATAGAGAAATTATTATATTTAACAGTTAAAAAATTGGTAACATTTTTTAGGTGTTCATCTTGCTCTTAGTAAAGGATCATTGTTTAGTGCCCCTCCCCCCTATAATTTCAAGATGACTTCTAGTAAAATGTGTTCTTACTGCAACTATGTGAGGAGGTTGAGGTCATGCCTCAATAATTAATTCATATATTATTTCTTGCTCTATTTTTTGTGTGCAGAGCCTTTCATCCTACTATAAAGGAGGATTTGAACAGAAAATGAGTAAGCGAGAAGCGAGTCTTATTTTGGGTGTAAGGTAAGTGTGCTGCATAAGTATTATTTTGTTTATGTCCAAGCTTATATTTAAAAAGGAGAAAATGTAATAGTAAAGTTATTCTTATATTTTAAATTATGAATAGGAAACAGGAGAAAATATCAAATTTTTACATTTTAAAATCTCTAAGAGAAAAATCTCACACTCCTAAAAAAAAAATCAGGCAAAGTTGTAATGTGTCTTTATTCTGTAACAATGAGCTATTATATTTCTTCCTTTTCATTTAAAAAAAAAAATTGATTTGAGAGAGAGGAAACCAGGACAGAGAAAGAGAGTAAGAGAGAGAAACATTGATTTGTTGTTCCACTTATTGATATATTCGTTGGTTGTTTCTTATGTGTGCCCTGACTGGGGATTGAATCCACAACCTTGATGTATTGGGACAGTACTCTAACCAACCAAGCTACCTGGCCAGTGCTCAGTAGCTATTATATTTCAATATTAAAGTTTAAAGAAATTATCATAATATCCCTCATTATGATACTGAGTTATTTCTAGATTCAGTTTTATAATTTGATATGTATCATATTTTCTATGGACTCTGTTTCACAATTATTTTCTAGTTCTGCAATTTGACATTTAGCATATTTTCTTATATTTGTTTCACCTTTTATCCATTTACTAGAGGCCCTGTGCAGGGATTTGTGCACCCATTGGGTTCCCTCTGCCTGGCCTGTGCCATCTTGCAATCCTGCACCCCGTGGGGGATGTCAGACTGCCAGTTTCGGCCCAATCCCCACAGACTAGGGTGAGGGATCCCACTGATATGCAAATCCATGCACTAGGCCTCCAGTATGCATATAAGATTTTTGGTTAATCTCTTTCTGCCCTCCCCCCCACTTTTCTTCCGAAATTCATCAGTCTGTTCCATGTTTTCATGCCTGTGTGTTGAGCATCTTGCCCCCTAGTGGTCAGTGTACATCATAACTAGTGGTCAAACGATTGCTTAGGCTTTTATATATATACCAGAAGCCTGGTGCACAAAATTTATGCACGGGGGGGAGGGTGTCACTCAGCTTAGCCTGCACCCTTTCTAATCTGGAACCCCTCAGGGGATGTCCAACTGACCATTTTTAGGCCTGATCTCACAATCTAGGACTGCTGGTTTCCAACTGCTCATCTGTCTGCCTTCTTAATTACCCCTAACTGCTTCTGCCTGCCAGCATGATCCCCCCCCCTAACCACTTCCCTGCCAGCCTGATTGATGCCTAACTGCCCTTCCCTGCAGGCCTGTCACCTCTCACTGCACTCCTCTGCAGGCCTGGTCACCCCCAACTGTCCTTCCCTGCAGGCCCGGTCACCCCCAACTTCTCTCCTCTGCCGGCCTGGTCACATCTAACTGCCTTCCCCTGCAGGCTTGATCACCCCCAGCTGCCCTTCTCTGCCAGCCTGGTCCTTCCTAACTACCCTCCCCTGCTGGCCTGATTGCCCATAACTGCCCTCCCTTGCAGGCCTGGTTCCTCTCAACTTCCCTCCCCTGCTGGCCATCTTGTATCCACATGGGGGCAAGATCTTTGACCATATGGGGGCAGTCATCTTGTGTGTTGGAGTGATGGTCAATCTGCATATTACTCTTTTATTAGATAGGACTGGTACATGGGTGGGGGCCAGCTGGTTTGCCCTGAAGGGTGTCTAGATCGGGGGGGGGGTGGGGGGGGAAGGTTTCCCTTGGGGCATGGGATGGCCTGGGTGAGGGGTCTGTGGTGGTTTTCAGGCTGGCCACAACACCACCACCCCCCACCCCCTGTGACCCAAGTGGAGACTCTGGGTATCTGGGGTTTATTTATCTTCCACTCCATGTTGCTTCCTCCTCACTCCATGTTGCCACCATTTCTGTTGGCATTTATTTATCTTCTACAATTGAAACTTTGCAACATTAAGAGGAGGCCTGGGCCAGCCAGGGCTGCAGAAAGTTGGCTTCCTTCATTGTCAGGGGCAACCCTAGCCTCCTGTTCTCTGCAGCTCCATGACTGCCATCATTTCTGTTGGAATTAATTTATCTTCTATAATTGAAACTTTGTACCCTTGAGTGGAGGCCTGGTCTACAGGTGTGTGGGAAACTTGGCTTCCTCCATTGCCAGGGAAACCCACGCCTCCCTCCTATTCACACTGCGGCTGTAGCCATCTTGGTTGGGGTTAATTTGCATATTAGCTCCGATTGGCTGGTAGCCTTGGCTTGTGGGTGTAGCAGAGTGGTGATTAATTTGCATATTTCTCTTTTATAAGGTAGGATATACATATATATATGTGTATATATATGTATATATATGTGTATATATGTATATATATGTGTATATATATGTGTGTACATATGTATATATGTGTGTATATATATGTGTGTGTGTGTGTGTGTGTGTGTGTGTGTGTATGTACAATATATGTGTGTGTGTTTTAAAAGCTTAAAGGCAGGCGGACATACCTGAGGGGTCCTGGATTGTGAGAGCATGCAGGCTGGGCTGAGGACCACCCCTCTCCCAATGCACAAATTTTGTGCACCAGGCCTCTAATCTATATAGTGATCATCGCAACTGAACAGGCAACCAGGCTGGCAGAGAGGGGCAGTGAGGGGCAAGTAGGCTGGCGAGAGGGCAGATGGGGGCAACCAGGCTGGCAGGAGGGGTCAGTAAGGAGTGACCAGGCAAGCGGGGGGTGGGAGGGAATTATGGGCGACCAGGCCAGCATGAGGGACAGTTGGGTGTGACCAGGCCATGGGGTGGGGGGGGCAATTAGGAGTGAGCCAGTGGTCCCAGATTGTGAGAGGGATGTCCGACTGCCAGTTTAGGCCTGATCCTACAGTCAGTCAGATATCCCCTGAGGGGTCCTGGATTGGAGAGGGTATAGGCTGTGCCGAGTGAGTCCCCTGCTCCCATGCACTGGGCCTCTACTATAAAATAAAGAACTAGGATTCTCCCATCTTGTTTAATCTTTATAACAACAGGCACATGTATTAAGGTCATAGGGATTTAAAGAAAAGGGGATAAACCTTGCACAATTTTACTACTTTCACCCCAAAGCTAACCACTAGGAGTCTGATCATTATTTTCTTAAAGGTAGAATATTTTGAATGACCATATATGTGCATATGAACTTTCCACTGACTTCAATCTAGTTCATTGGTTGGTGGACCTTATTGTATGTAATGCTTATGGAATTTTATATACAAACCCATATGCATTGTTATTATAGGCAATACAAATGATTTTCAAGGATAATTTTGACAGAAGTGCTAAATATTGTCTTATTTGTTAAATTAAAGCTTAATATCCAGAATAAGGTGCAACTTACCATATCTACTTCCTCCCAAAAAATGCATACAATGAAAATTTGAATGAGTAGCCTGCATTTGATTAGCTTTATAAAATAGTTTTTAAAGCTTCCCTTTTTTTTTTTTAATTAAAATGCTCATATTTACTAATACAGAGCCTTTATTCTTTCAAGGACTTTAACTTTTTACTGCCATTTATTTACAATAGGAGGGTAGTATAAAATGCATTAAGCACCTATTGCACATGTAATACTAGAATAGTATTTTAAGATCTACCCTTCAGGAGGTTAGTTTCTAAGAAACCTAAGGAGACATGTCAAATATATACACAAAACTAGGAAACATAACTAATATAGGAAGTGTTATAGAGCAAAAGAGGGGGGGAAATTATAAATGTAGATTAGATATAGTAAACTAAATCATATTAGAATTTTTCACAGTAACATCTTTTTTATTCTTGATAGGCAATTAAACAATAAAGTGTTCATTGTCCTGGTACAATGTTAATGATTTTTCTCTCAAAATTTGGTAGTCTTTGTCTTTTTGTCTGGGGAAGACTCTACAAATCAAAACTAAGTTTGAAATGATCCCTAAAAATCTTCTACAAACAGCCAAAAGGAATACCCAAAAGACTTTATATTAAAATATTTATTACTTATTTGTTATTTATTAATATTTTTAAAGTACCCCCATCCCCAGTTTTACTGAGATATAATTGGCATATGACATTGTACATTACTTTAAGGTGTACAACATAATGATTTGATATTCTTTATAATAATAAAAGTGTAACATGCTAATTAGACCAAATGTCCTTCCTTCGGATGTCCTTCCTTCTGGACAAAGCAGCGTCAGGCAGAGGCCCCCAGCCATGGTGATGGCAGGCGGGCGCCGAGGTAGACATGGCTGCTGCAGCAACGGGGCCAAAGGCCCTTGCACAAATTTCACGCAGTGGGCCTGTCGTATTATAATAAATGCCTAAAATGCTAAGTGTCTGACCATTCAACCGTTCAACCAGTCGCTATGATATGCACTGACCACCAGAAGGCAGATGTTTTGACTGGTAGGTTAGCTGGCTGTTGGGGTCCAGCCAATCGGGACTGGATGAGATGGACTAGACACACCTTGGAGCACTCCCGCGATCCCTCCTTGATCCCTGTTGGCCCCAATCAGGTCTGGGTAACATGGGCTGGACATACCCTAGAACCCTCCCACCCTTCCTCTCCAGCCCTGATCATGCACCAGTGGGGTCCCTTGGCTTGGCCTGTGATCTCTCACAATCCAGTACTCATTGGGCGTTATCGCAGAGCTGGTTTCGACCCTATCCCCAGGAGCCAGGCCAAAGGGCCCCACCAGTGTATGAATCCTTGCACCAGGCCTCTAGGATGTATACGTTACAAAATGATTATCACAGTAAGTTTAGTTAACATCCTTCAAGTCATATAATTACAGTGCTGGTTTTTTTCCTTGTGATGAGAACTGTTAAAATGTACTGTCTTAGGAACTTAGAAATATATAAACAGTATTGTTAACTATCACCATGCCGCATATTCCATCCCTGGGACTTACTTATAACTAGAATATGTACCATTTCATCCATACTCCCCCACCTCTGGCTTTTACCAGTCTGTTCTCTGTTTCTGTAAGTTCAGCTTTTTTAGATTCCACAAAAAAGTGAGATCATACACAGTATTTGTCTTTCTCTGACTTGTTTCACGTAGCATAATGTTCTCAAGGTCCATCTCATGTTGTCACAAATGGCAAGATTTTCTTTTTATGACTGAGTAATATTTTATTTACCATATATACAGAAGTGGAATTGCTGGATCACATGGTAGTTTTATGTTTAATTTTTTGAGGTACCTCCATTACTTTTCCATAGTGATTGTACCAATTAACATTCCCACTAACAGTGTGCAGGGTTTTCCTTACCTCCACATTCATTCCAACACTTGTTATTTTTTTTTTCTTTTCTTTTTTTTTTTTTTTTTTTTTTTTTTAATGATGATGTGAAGTGTGATATCTCATGGTGGTTTTCATTTTCATTTCCCTGATGATTAGTGATGTTGAATATCTTTCATGTCCTTGTTGGCTGTTTATCTGTATGTCTTCTTTGGGGAAAATGTCTGTTCAGGTCCTCTGCCCATTTTTTAATTGGCTTGTTTTTCTGAAATTTAGTTTTATAAAGTTCTTTAAATATTTTGAATATTCATCCCTTATTGGATGTATGATTTGCAAATACCTTCTCCCATTCAGTAGGTTTTCTTTTTATTTGTTGATGGTTTCCTTTGCTGTGCAAAAACTTTTTAGTTGGTTCTAATCCCATTTGTTTTTTGCTTTTCTTTTTTCTTAAGGGGATTGATCCAAAAAATATAGCTAATACTGATATCAAAGAGTTTACTTCCTATGTTTTTTTCTAGGAGTTCTGTGGTTTCAATTCTTATGTTTAAGTCTTTAATCCATTTGAATTTATTTTTTGTAAATGGTATAAGATAGCTATCTATTTTTTTAGTTTAATGTATTTTAAAAGCAAACTTACAGGAACAGCACAGAAGACAGACAACATTAAAAACATATACTTCCATGTAGGACAACTAAGTTAGAAAAGCATAGTGAATGGATGGAATCTACTGTATGATAAAAATGCTACAAACAAAGGACTTTTATACATGCATATAAGTACAACCAATGGACACAAAACTCTGGGGAGGGAGGGGATGTGTGGGAGGGAGGGAGGGGGGCAAAAAAATCAATAAAATATATTAAAAAAAATAATAATAAAATAAAAGATTATCCTATATAATTAAAAAAAATGCTACAAACACCATTTAGTTGATATCAATAAGAAATTTACCTGTTTTTAAAAAATCCAAATGCTGTCATTGTCCAGAAAAATTTAACAAGTTTATTTATATTGTTATAAAGTTGAACTGCTGAAATTTATTCACTGAAACATTTGACTTGCATTAATGCTTTATGTCCCCACATTTATATTAAAAAAAATTCACACACAAATGAACATGGAAAAATTGCCAATACCTGATTTCTAACCCCTATTTTCAACTTACAATCATATACTTAGGTACTTTTTGACCCTATGGGAAATAAAAAACATCTAAGGTTCAGAACTACCAATAACAGGAAGAAGAGAAATTTTTTTAAAGAATGAAATGTATTCCATCATAGTGGATTCTTAAGCATGTTCTTCACATATTTGGTGTGCTAACTGGATGTCTTTTGGCATAATTGTTACACATTTGGCATGGATAGCACATAGGTTGGTGTCTTCAAAAAGGCCAACCAGATAGGCCTCACTTGCCTCCTGCAAAGCACCACTTTGGAAGCACAGGTCTGATTTGAAGTCCTGAGCAATTTATCGCACCAGACGCTGGAAGGGAAGTTTGCAAATCAGAAGTTCAGTGGACTTCTGATAAGGTCTCATATCATGAAGTGCCGTGGTACACAGCACTTCATGATATGGAGGGCACACTCCATATCATATGGAGGGCACACTCTTTCGAGCGGCTTTGGTAAGAGTTGATTTGCGGGCAGTCTGCTTGGTATAAGCTATGGTACAGAGACCACTTTACTTACCCCCTTCTCCTTTTGCTTTAGCTCGGCAAGCTGGAGGCAGTGCAGGCTTTGGAGAGCAAAGGCGGCTGCGAACACATTTCAGCAATCTATTTTTATTCTTTTGCATGTAGCTTTCAAAGACTGTCATATCCCCCTTGGATATTGCCTGTGTTTTCTACCTGTTTACTACCTGTGTTTTCTTCTAGGAGTTTTATGGTTATGGGTCTTACATTTATTTATTTAATTCATTTTGAGTTTATCCTTATATAAGGTTTAAGAAGGTGGTCTAGTTTCATTTTTTATGTATCTGTCCAATTTTCCCAGTACCATTTATTCCATAGACTGTCTTTACCCCATTTTATACACTTGCCTCCTTTGTCATCTATTGACTGACCATATAAGCATGGGTTTATTTCTGAGTTCTATATTCTGTTCCATTGATCTACATGTCTGTTTTTATGCCAATACCATGCTATTTTGGTCACTAGAGTATTGTAGTATAGTTTGATATCAGGTAGTGTGAAACCTTCAACTTTGTTTTTATTTCTCAAGATTGCTGTGGCTGTTCAGGGTCTTTTGTTATTCTGTGTAAATTTTAGTATTTGTCCTGGTTTGGTGAAAAATGCCATTGCTGTTTTAATAGAAATCACATTGAATCTATAGATTGCTTTGGCTAGTATGGGCACTTTAAAAATGCTAATTTTTCCTATCCATAATGTAAGAAACATGCCTCTGATTTATTTTCATAGAAAAGAAACAGCATGTGGCCAGGCAGCTACTGAATTTCTGCAGAGCAAACAGTATGTGGGGTGGGGAGAGGAACACTTTGGCTGATAGCACATGTTCTAGGAAGATTCTCCTAGACCCATGGTCGGCAAACTGCGGCTCGTGAGCCACATGCGGCCCTTTGGCCCCTTGAGTGTGGCTCTTCCACAAAATGCCACGGCTTGGGCTAGTCTGTTTTGAAGAAGTGACGTTAGAAGAAGTTTAAGTTTAAAAAATTTGGCTCTCAAAAGAAATTTTAATCGTTGTACTATTGATATTTGTCTCTGTTGACTAATGAGTTTGCCGACCACTGCCCTACACAAAGGGAAGTGGAGGCAACTAGAAAAGGCCCCAGCCCATATTTTAATAACCAATGGAAGACAGCAAAACCTAGGCAACCTATTAGGAAATAGGTGACTAAATAGTACTCAGCCAATGAGGAATTGGAAGAGAGCCTAAATAAATAGACTTATGTTCCCTGCCCCACATGTGTTCCTGTACAATGGTTGCCCACTCTCGAGTGTTATTAAGTTACATTTTCGCCATGCTTCTGTTTCCTTGTCCATCATTTGAAATTTGAAGAGGCGAGACATTTCTCACAATTAGTATGGTATATAATTTCATTTATTTGTATCTTCAATGTCATAATTTTCCAAGTATTCCAGGTATTTTATATCTCTGGTTAAATTTATTACTAGGTATTTTATTTTTTGATGTAATTATAAATGGATTGTTTTTTAAATTTCTCTTTCTGATAGGTTAATATATAGTTCATGTATATAAATGAAACCTATTTTTAAATATTAATTTTCTATCCTGCTGCTCTACTGAATTAATTTTTGGGGGCTATAATTGCTTTTTGGTGGAATCTGTAGGATTCTCTATGTATTGTATTATGTCAAGTGCAAATAATTACATTTTTACTTATTTCCAGTTATGATCCCTTTTATTTCTTTTTCTTATTTAATTGCTGTGGCTAGGTCTTCCAATACTTCCAAAATATATATGACACACACTGACCACCAGGGGGCGGACGCTTAATGCAGGAGCAGCCAAGCTGAGGTGACTTGGAAGCAGCGGTTTTTGGGTGTTGCACCCTGAACCAGAGAGGAAGGAGCCTTATTCCAGGGTGTGTCATCTGAGAACTGCCCTCAGCAATCCGGGACCCCTCTGGGGATGTCGGAGAGCCAGTTTTCTTGATTCCTACAGGCCAGGCCAAGAGACCCCACCTGCTAATGATATTCCCATCTGCATATGATATTCAAGCCGAGGCGCTGCCCCAAATGCAGCTGGCCAGGGAGGTACTGCAGGAGGTTGGTTCCAGGGTTGGCCCATCTCACCCAATTACACCCTGCCAGCTACCTAATTAATTTCCTTTCAATGTGCATGAATCTGTGCACTGGGGCACTAGTATCTTAAATAAAAGTGGTGAAAGTGGACAGCGTTGTCTGTTCCTGATCCTAAGGAAAGCACTTTTAGCTTTTCTCCATTGAGTATGATATTAACTGTGGGTTTGTCATATATGGCTTCTTTATATTGAGGTATGTTCTCTCTATTCTCACTTTTCTAAGAGTTTTTTATTATAAGTTGATGCTATTATGTCAGATATTTTTTTCTGTATCTATTGACATGATCATATTATTTTTATGATTTATTTTGTTGATGTGGTATATCATGTTAATTGATTTGCAGATATTGAACCTGTTAGGGGGTTCTTATTAATTTAATTGCATTACTAGTACTCGGTCTATTCATAATTTCTCTTTCTTTATCATTTAGTCTTGGTAGGTTGTTAGTTTCTAAATATCGTAGGTTGTCCAGTTTGTTGGCATATAATTATTCATAGTAGGCTCTTATGATCCTTTGTATTTCTGTTTTATATTTTATTTTATTTATTTGATTTTTTTTTCTTGGTGAGTCTAGCTAATGGTTTGTCTATTTTGTTTATCTTTTCAATAAAACAGCTCTTAATTTTACTGCTCTTTTTTGTTGTCTTATTACTCTCAATTTCATTTATTTTCTTTCTGACCCTTATTGTTTTCTTCCTTTAATTAACTTTGGACTTAGTTTGTTCCTTTTTTACAGTTTTTTGAATTGTAAAGTTAGGTGGTTTATGTGAACTCTTTCTTTCCTCTTAATGTAGTAGTTTATTGCTATAAACTTTCCTCTTAGAACTTCCATTTTTATTGGCCTCAAAGTATTTTTTAATTTCTCTTTTGATTTTTTTCTTTAACTCAAGACATATTTATTTTATTTATAGAAGAATATTTTAAATGCTTATTTAGCAACTGATAGTACACTTTAACATGCTTGGTTAGTTGTTTAACTCCAGGAGGTTAGAAGTAGCAAGTAACTGGCAAGGAACTGGAAACAGTGGTAGAATCATGGATTGACAACTGACAGCAAGGGAGTCAGCATTCATTCAAAACAGATTGAAGTTAAATGAATAGCATTGGACAACTATTTAATAGAAGGGCAAGCAATTTAGGCATTGATCAGGCTGGCAGGGGAGTGGTTAGGGATTGATCAGGCTGGCAGGCAGAAGTGGTTAGGGGCAATCAGGCAGGCAGGCAGGCGAGCGGTTGGGAACCAGCAGTCTATTTTGTTTATCCCTTTCTTTGTACCTAATTAATGGTCATGCTAATGCTTTTGAGTTATTTAAGAAATGTTTAATTGGGTTATTTATACTCCATTTTCAAAATAGGAAATATATATATATATATATATATATATATATATATATATATATATATTCATTAGCATTCTTTATATTCATAACTAGTGACCCAGTGCACAAATTCATGCACATTGAAAAGAAATTAATTAGAAGAAAGATTTGTGTGGTAATTACATTACTGCAGAAAAATTACATGTCAAAATATTATTATAATATAGTATTATAAAGTTAAAACATCTATTTGATTGGCACCAACAAGAGCTTTATATGTATGAGGCATGTGCGAGTCAACATTTATTTTTAAACAAAATTAGTGCATGGGTATGGGCACTAGAAGCTGCCGAATGCTGGCTGGGACCTCCTTTCCCCTTGGCTGCCTGCCACCACTGCCCCATGGTGGCCAGCACACGTCCAACTTCCACTAGGTTGAACTCCTGCCCATGTAGACAATTTGTGTATTAGCCTTTTATTATATAGGATTGCCAATGCACATCATAGGTACTGGCTGGTCAGACATATAACTACAATTCTCTGAACACTAACTATATGCTAGTCATACTAATCTCTTTACTTATATTATCTAATTTTCCCTTAAGGTAATCCTGGAAATTATTTTAGTATTTCCTTTTTCCATATGAGGAAATTGTAATATATGAGGAAATTAACTAAACAAAATAAATTATATGACTAATGAATGGTGGAATCAGGATTTTGAAGATTTTTCTGAATATTTCTATAAGTACCTGCTTTTATCAGCATGAATCACTCATACAAATTAAATTACTTTGAGCTTAACAACATCCAACCTGGACTTTGTCAGGTACTATTATTCTCATTTGAGACCGAGATTATTTGAGTACCTTAGATAAGATCTAAGTAGCAATACCAGGATTTTGTTGTTCTTGTTCTTTTTTTTTTTTTTCTTGTTTAAAAAATGTACTAATGAGAAACATTGCTAATACTAGATAAATTAGATGTTACCAAAATAGTTTTAGGTTTATTTAACTTTCTTTAATTATTGTTTAGAGCATAGATTCTGGCAGCCAAGCTTTTCCCATAGAGTTCTCAAAAAGTTAAATAAATTTTGAGCTATGACTTGTTTTGAGATGCTCTGTTGAAGCATAATAATAAAACAAACTATTATGGGACACCTGTTACACAGCAGGCACCATTTTAGCACTTCATTGGCATTAACTAATCCTTACAGTTGCTCTACTAGGAATATGTTTTTCTTTTGTTTTACAATGAAGAAACTGAAGCACAGTGAGTTAACAAATTGGCCAAGGTTAACCCATTCCAAATGGCAATGGGATTAACATCCAGCAGTCTAGTAGCTCTGGAGTCCAAATACCTGTCTTTTATACTCTACGCTGAGTGGCCAGATTATTATGCATTCAGAGATTATAATAATCTGGCCACTCAGTGTATATACTGCCTTTCTCCCAAATAATTTGAAGCATGCATTTTCAAACTTTCAGTATAGTCTATATTGTTTTATTTCTTAAATGGGTTGATAATAATGACTGATATTACAAGGGACTGAAGAAAAATACATGCAGCATTGAATCAGGTAGTTATTGGAATTAAGTGATGGGCTGTAATTTCATATTTATCCACAAGATGGTGAAATCCTCATTACTTTTTAATTTCTTGAAATCCATATAAACTGTTAATTTATAATTTGACACCATTTCTTATAATTACTTTAATTTCTCTTTACAGTCCATCTGCTGGCAAGGCCAAGATTAGAACAGCTCACAGGAGAATCATGATTTTGAATCACCCTGATAAAGGTAAGTAAAATTCTTACTTTGTATAATATGAGGATTAGAATCTGCTCTGAATTTCTTTCAGTTTACTTTAACTCATTATAAATGATTTATAGTTTAAATGGAAGATTATATGCCATTGTATTGTGATGTTTCTTATAATAAACTAGAGGCCCAGTGCACGGAAGTCCCTTAGCCTGGCCTGCGCCCTCTTGCAATCCGGGACCCCTCGGGGATGTCAGAGATCTGGTTTCAGCTCGATCCCCAAAGGCCAGGCTGAGGGACCCCACCAGTGTACCCATCATGCATTGGGCATCTATTATGCATATAAGACATTTGGTTACTCTCTTCCCACCCTCCCCACTTCCCCCTTTCCCTCTGAGATTCACCAGTCTGTTCTATGTTTCCATGCCTGTGGTTTCCGCTCCTACATTGAGCTTCTGCCCCCTGGTGATCAGTGCGCATCATAGCTCCCGGCCAGTTGGACGGGTCAGCAGGTCACTTAGGCTTTTATATATATATACTAGAGGCTCAGTGTACGAAATTCATGCACTGGGCGGGGGAGGGAGGGTGTCCCTCAGCCCAGCCTGTACTCTCTCCAAATTGAGATACCTCGAGGGATGTCCAACTGACTGCCCCTCTCATAATCCAGGACTGCTGGTTCCCAACCGCTCGCCTGCCTGCCTGCCTGATTGCCCCTAACCACTTCTGCCTGCCAGCCTGATCAATCCCTAACCACTCCCCTGCCAGCCTGATCAATGCCTATCTGCTTCCCTGCTGGCCAATTGGCCCTAACTGCCCTCCCCTGCAGCCCTGCTCACCCCCAACTGCCCTCCTTTGCCAGCCTGGTCGCCCATAACTGTCCTCCCTTGCAGGCCTGGTTGCTCTTATCTTCCCTCCCCTGTAGACCATCTTGTGATGGCTATCTTCTGTCCACATGGAGGTGGCTATCTCTGATCACATGGGGGCAGCCATCTTGTGTGTTGGAGTATTGGTCTATTAGCATATTACCTCTTTATTACCGTATATTGGACTAGAGATCCAGTGCACAGCAATCGTGCACTGGGGAAGGGAGTTCCCTCAGCCTGGCCTGTACCCTTTCAAAGCTCAAGTGTCCTTGGGGAATGTCCAACTGACAGCTTAGGCCTGCTCCCTGCCAGTCTTCCATCAACACCACTGCGCTCGCAGCTGTGAGCTCAGATTCTTGCTGAGTGGCGCTCCCCCTGTGGGAGTGCACTGACCACCAGTTGGCAGCTCCTGTGTTAAGCATCTGTCCCCTGATGGTCAGTGCCTGTCATAGTGACCGGTCGTTCCATTGTTCAGTCAATTTGCATATTACCCTTTTATTATATAGGATAGATGAGGCTTTAGATTGAAGTTCAGTGATCCACAGAAGTAGCAGGGGTATCCGAAACTGGTTTGGCTCAGTGGATAGAGCCTTGGCCTGTGGACTCCCAGGTTCGATTCCGGTCAAGGGCATGTACCTTGGTTGTGGGCACATCCCCAGTAGGGGGTGGGCAGGAGGCAGCTGGTCGATGTTTCTTTCTCATTGATGTTTCTAACTATCCCTCTCCCTTCCTCTCTGTAAAAAAATCAATAAAAAAATACACACACACACACACACACACACACACATATATATATACATATATATATATATATATATATATATATATATATATATATATATATGAAGTAGCAAGGGTATATTCCCAGCTTTTACGAACTTAGTTACTGATTTTTATGTAGGAATACCTCTTTTTGAAGCTGCTAGCATTGTGAGTAAGAAAGACAAAATGTGAGTTGTAGATTTCCTGATTATGTAAACTGATTAGTGCATCATAAATTATATTTGTTTAACCTTAAATATAAAAGCACAACATTTAGAGGATGTCCTCTAAATCTCTGAATGTGATATGTCATAGATGATTCTGAATGTCTTAATTTTATTCTGGAAGGCTCTGAGGCTGAGTCATTTATTTTTAACTGGCCAGGTTTTTAATGTAAATTTATCTTACAGAAAGACAATTATTATAACTTTAACTACACTACAGCTGCTTGAGAGTGAAAGCCCATATGTTCATTACTGTTTCTGCTCTAAAATAACAGATGGTAGAAAGTTGCACTGTATTTCAGAAGTCAAGGTGGGGAGTGGAGGGAGAAAAAGGAAGTGTTCCATGGATTCTTAATTTTGACTTTCAGTTTTATAATTATTTTGAAAAAAATTAAAAACAAATTTTGGATTCATACCCATCTTAACTGACACCATAAATAAAACTTTTCCCCCAGCTTTCTCACTTAATTACTTACTATAAAAATTCTTTTTACTATACATTATCTCCTTTGGTTTTTGCTCTTGCTGTTTTTAGTGTGGATAAACAAGGGAAAATTTGGAAATGAGGTTTTTCTTAAAATTTCTAAGCAGCTTCAACAGTTACTGAAAGATCCACTCAACTAATTAACTTTGTATTGTGGGCTTTCAGTGTAATTGCCTCAGAAAGAAATATGGTTAAGTGCCTCCTTGAAGCCTTCTCTCTCCTAAACATCCTCTGTCCCTTCCAGGTTTAGTGTATGCCCTTCTTTTATTGATCGCAGTAAGATCAAGCACTCATCTTTTAGATGATTGACGGATTATTGATTGTGCCTACTGGCAAGGAAGCAAGTTCTAAAATGTATCTAAGAGAATATGTATTTTTAGACATGTTCAATAAAAATGTTTATATATCTTATGATCCATTAAATGTTTAAAGAATTAATAACTTGATTTATTCTGAGATTGTATCCTTATCAGAGGTAGATTTGTATACTTATCAGAGGTATTGTTGACTGCCTGTAGTATGTTTACTAACATCCTCCTGTGTGTCCCTGTGTAGGTAGCAGGTGTGAGGGCCTGGAAGTAGGAGGCCAGCACTTTTCTGTCTTCTGTTTTCTAGTTATCAACAGCCTAAACACTTTCCTTAACCTCTCCAGATGTCAATTTCATTATCTACAAAGTGAAGGGATTTATTTTTAAAGCCATTTTTGATTATTTGATACATAATATATTTATATACCTATTTAATTAATGAAGAACCTATATCATATTTCTATTTCAGATCACATTTTTAATTTAATAAGATTCTTTTCATCTTTGTTGGATTATTGTTCTCTATAAGAATGTACTGACAACTGTGCACATTTGCTCATATAATTGCTCATTCACACAAAATTTTAAAATATTTGGATTTAAGACAATTCATAAAGTTCCTAAAACTTATTTGTTTACACATTCTTAAGAATTCTTTCTCTAGTTAAAAAAAAAAAAAATGGTGAATTAATGAGTACTGGAACTACTGTAGAGAAAGAACTCATGTATGCTAGCTAGAGTTGGGAAATGATAGCTTATAAATCTGTAAATTGTCATGTGAGAAGGAAGGTTGTTTTATTTTGTTTTTAATGGGAAGAAGATAACCAATTTTAAATAAGAATGTCTGATTTTCATTAGAGAGAAAGCCAGGAGTATTTGAGAAAGTATGAGACTGGCAACTCCTTTTTAAAAAAGAAATCATTTAAAATTTTACAGTTACAGTTGACATTCAATATTAATATGTTAATTTCAGGTGTACAGCATAATGGTTAGACATTTATATAACTTACAAAGTGATCCTTGCCCCCGTAAGTGTAGTATCTACTTAGCACCATACATAGTTATTACAGTATTATTGCCTATATTTCCCCTACTGTACTTTCCATCCTGTGACTATTTTATAACTGCCAATTTGCACTTTTTAGTTCCTTTATCCAGCTCCCTAGCCCCCCTCCATTATCTGGCAGCCATAATTTTGTTCTCGGTATCTATTAATTTGTTTTGTTTGTTTGTTTTGTTCTTTAGATTCCACATATAAGTGAAATCATATGGTTTTCATCTCTCTCTGTCTGACTTATTTCACTTAGCATAATATCCTCTAGTTCTACAAGAAAGTATATTCTTAATTTTGCCTCCTCTTTTTATAATTCTTCACCATGTTAGTTTGGGCCAAATCTGGGTATTAAAGGTTGTTGCAAAAATTTAAATCCTTTACCCAGTGTATCTGAAATTCATGAAATGTTCTCCCACCCCTACTCCTCCACTACTCCCAAGAGATTTTCCTTTGTATTATTTTACTACCCGATAGTAAAATAAAGTTAGAACTTCAAATGTGTAATCAACTGTAATTTATTACACATTTCATTATCAGCATGTGCAAAGAAAGTGACACCAGAAAATTAAGTGTGAGAAATGGCTGAAAATAAATCTTATGTAACCAGTTTCAAATGAGCATTAAGATGTGTTTGGGTAGAAAATAAAATTTTGCTATTTTAATTTAATTAGATAAAAGGTTAATTAATGCAGTAAAAAAATAATGCTTTTAAACTAATACCTTTTAGATTATGCTTTTGTAATTGCTAAAGAAAGCAGTTTCTTGTTATGAAATTAGTAGTTTGATATTTATGTCCAATGACTATAGAAAGGAGGAAAGACTAGGTAAATTTGAAAAACTGTAGAACCGCAGAGATATTTTACAGACTGTGGAATCCATTCAAAGTATAGCCCACCTATTAATACCAAAACACACTTTGTTACCTATGTGTACCAAATTAAAAACAAAAATGAAAAGTAAGCATTTGGGACAGCAATTTTCAACCAGTGTGCCACAAGAATTTTTAAAACATGCAATACCTGGGCTGGCATTAGCTGAGCATTTCCTTCAATACAAGCCTTTGTTTGCCAACTAATCTTGCTTGAGAGAGTGACTTGAGACCTACAGGTGCCCTCCTGCCTTAAAAAAAAAAAAAGGAAGGGAGGGAGGGAGGGAGGGAGGGAGGGAGGGAGGGAGGGAGGGAGGGAGGGAGGGAGGGAGGGAGGGAGGAAGGAAGGAAGGAAGGAAGGAAGGAAGGAAGGAAGGAAGGAAGGAAGGAAGGAAGGAAGGAAGGAAACTTGCAAACATGCAATACCTGACAATTTAGTCAGGGACACTGACCTCTTTTTCCTAATATTGTCAAATAAAGTATTAATAAAGGACAATAGCTAACACAACAATAACTGTCTGGTGTGAAAGCCCTGTCTTGAACCATAAATATATGTCATATAATAGTTACATCTTACTGACAGTGTGGCATAATAAGGTTGTGTCTTATTGATTAATTCTTGATATCAGAAATCCTTATATGTAAGTATAGGCAGCTAATTTTAAATATATATTTTTTTATTGATTTCAGAGAGGAAAGGAAAGGGAGAGAGATATAGAAACATCAGTGATGAGAGAGAATAATTGATCAGCTGCCTGCTGTACACCCCCTACGGGGGACTGAACCTGCAACCTGGCACAGGCCCTGACTGAAAATCAGTTCATAGGTTGACGCTAAACTACTGAACCATGCCGACCCGGTCACCTAATTTTTAAAAAAGTCACTTTGCAGCAATAATAGTAGGTAATTATTATTATTTTTTAAATCAATCAAAATCATACCTATTTTTATGGTCATATTAATAAAAGAATATATTTTTTAGTGTGCCCCAGAATTTTAGTAATTTATGTGTGCCATGAGATGAAAAGTTGAAAATTGCTGATTTAAAAAATTTATAGTGATTTGACATTACCATGACATCTAAATGTGGGTTACTTTTATATTGTGTAAAACTATTGGTCCAACACAGTGGGAAAAAATTTTAAGTGTTTTTGACCATAGTTTGAGGGACACTGATCTAAATCAATATTGCCTCAAGTCTAGATTGTTTCTGTTCTCCGACAAAAATCAGCCTGGTAGCTTTCCTTAAAGGTTTTTAGTGATGGAGAACTTACTGTTTTGCAAGGAAGCCCTCTGATAGGCAGCTCTAACTACTAGAAAGCTCTTTCTTACATTCAGTTAATATTTGCTTGCCTGCAGCATGAGATTCTCAATCTTTTCCCATTTATGTCCCCTTTCAATGACCATAATTTTCTCTTCTGTAATAGTATTTAAATCAATATTAGATTAAATATTGCTATTAAAAACAAATCAAGGTAATAATTCTATTTTTGAATGGATTTTTCTGATTACTCTTCTTGTAACAAAAGAAGCTAAATTTGACATGAAGCCTTGGTAATAATATATTACAATTTATTACAGTGTATTACACTTAAAAGATGAATTGGAAACATTTAAAAAAAGAAAGGTGATCACCAAGAATCAACATGAATTCAGTAAAAAAAGAGTGATGCCTAATTAGCTCCTTTTCTCTTTTGATAAGTGTATTTAGATTATTATTGGTTTCAGAGGGTTCATCTTTCCTTCCTTTCATTTCAACGTGTTAATTAAATTGAAGGCATTGTATTTGAGTTCATTGTTTTTTTAATAAAAATATTATTTTATTTTATAATATTGCTTTTTCTTAATAAATGGTGGGGCCTTTAAAAGTAAAGAACATCACATTAAATTTATAACCTGTAGGCTGACATTTAGTAAACTCCCACTATAGTACATATAGTGAATGAACAAGCAAATGCTTAAAAAGAAAGGCATACAAATAAATTTATAGATACAAAAAACTGAGTAATTACTAATATAATTATCATATCAAAATTCATAAAGACTCTTTATTGATATGAAACCTGAAACTCTTATTCATTTAGAAATTATTTATTCAACTTATACAGGGTGCCAGACATTGTAGTAAATGTTGGGACTTTAACTGTAAAACAAGATAACTGTATCCTTATCCACATTCTAATGGGATACAGACAAAAATCCAGTAAATCTATTTCAAGTTGTAGTAAGTGAAATAAAATACAATGGACTGAGCTATGGGAAAGAGGCAACTTTACATAAGGTGATTTGGGGAAGGCTTCTCTGAGGAACACTAAAGATTTAAAAGAAACGTGTTGTTTTGTGTAAGTCAAGGAACTAGCATGTGTAAAGGCTTTAAAGGAGGAAAGAATTTACTGTGTTTAAAGACTTGAAAGATAAATAGTGGGATGGGGGTATAATAGTCAAGGGAAGAGGTAGCATGACATGAGGTGGTGCCAGATTTTGAAAACTATAGATATGTTTTATGATAATAAAACACTGTAGGTTCTGTATAATATTTCAACTTTATTCTAAGAAGTTACCATCAGTTTTTATGCAATAGAGTGATGTAATTCAATTTAATTTTTTAAAAATCACTATTTTTTTTTCAACCTAGTATTAAGAATGGCATATTATATTTTCTAGGTCAATAAGTAAAAGAAGACTTGAACAACACTTTAAACAAGAAAAAATAAATAAAACTAACAACAACCGAATCCTAGTATTGCTACTTAGATCTTAATTAAGGTACTCAGGTTATCTGGGCCTCAAATGGGAAAAATAGTACCTGACAGGGAACACGCTGTTTGTTGTGAAACTCAAAATAATTTAATTTGTATGGATGATTAATTCTGTAGAGGATAAAAGCAGGTGCCTTTAGAGATATTCAGAACCCAGGTCTCAAAAAGCCTAGTTATTACTCTATTGGAAGCCAGAGACTACCAGGCAAGTCTAGACTCACCTCCTGAAGAAAGAAAGGCCATCCCAGCTGACGTCCCAGTAGGATATCCTGAACCATCCAGCCCTAGCTGACCTGACACAGCTTAGAAAAACCATCCAGCTAATGCATAGAACAGTGAGAATTAAAAAACATTGTTTTTAGCTACTAAGTTTTGGGGTAGTTTGTTATTACCATAACTGGAGGCCCGGCATACGAAATTCATGTGTGTATGGTCCATAGGCCTGGTCTGCGATCAGGGCCATCTTCCCCAGCTGCCCACAGCCGGCCCCACCCCCCACCGCCACCCACCCAGGTTCCCCATTCGCCATTGGGTGATCGATGCTTGATGGCAGGGGAAAGAACCTAGAAGTTGGCTATTCCCCCATGCTCACCAGCCACCACCACCCCCTGCAGTGGATGGCCATTATGCCATTGGAGGCTGCCAGCCGGGGGAAGGGGCCAAGAGGTAGTCAGCGTGCCTCATAGTGACTAGTCCAGCACTCGTTCTGCCCTTAGGGTCAATTTGCATATTTCCCTTTTATTACATAGGAAGGCTGATGTAATAAGTGCCATGATATTAAGTACTTTTAAGAAAAATAAAGCAAAGTGGGGACAGGCAAGATAGAGATTGGCAGCTAGAGAGGAGGCAGTTGTAGTGTTTCTTTATAATCATCTTAGAAATTCTCTGAAAAGATATAATAGTTGAACAGAGACTTGAGGGAGTAATTCCTGCAAAAATAAGAAAATATTTCAACAGAAGAAACATCAAATGTGAGGATCTTGAAATGAGAGCATATTATGTGTTTCTATAATTGTAAAATGTGCTAGAACATAGTGAGCAAGGGAGGAGTGCTAGGAAATACAATTGAAGAGGATGCCCAGGGCCGAATTAGCTTGCAAGCTATAGTAAGAACTTTGGCTTTAATTTTTATGTGTTAGGAGATATATAATTTACAATATTAAAAATATTCTGGCAGCTACAGAGAAAATAGTGAGTCTAGAGTGGAAGCAAGCCATAGAGAGGAAGGAAAATAAGTATATACATATACATACATATACACACACACACACACACACACACACACACACACACACATATATATATATATATATATACATATATATATATATATATATATATATATATATATGAAGCCTAAGTGTCCTTCTGACCAGTAGCTATGGTGTGCACTGACCACCAAGGGGCAGATGCTCAATGCAGGAGCTTCCTTGGCACACACTGGGGGGCACCACGAACCTGGTGCCAACAAACCAACAATTAGCTTCCCCCAAGTCGGACACAGACCCGCCACCACTGGAGTGACACTCTGCCAAATCACAGCCAATGCTGCCAAGACCCTATTGCTAAAAATATAGCCCACAGCCCAGCCCAGCCTGGGAACAGTTGCTATGGACCCTGGGTAATGAGATCACATAACAACACCTGGCTCTCCCTAGGGACTAGCCTCCTTAGAATTCCTTCAGACCAGAAACATGACTTGCTTTATAGCCAAGTGCAAACATTTTACACTTTAACCAAATGTCATAAAGCATTTTTCACAGACCACATCTCATTTGATCCTCACAGAAGTTCTGGAAAAGGTTGATAGGAGACTTGGTAGAATCCTATTGTTTCTTTTCATTAGCAAGAAACAAGAGATTTAGAAAATTTAGAAACTTGACCTGACTGAAAAGAAGTAAGAAATAGTTGAACTAGAAAATAACTTCAGGTTTCTCACTGTGCAGATTATAGTCAAACATGACTACCACCCTTTCTTCTCCCTGCATGATCCACAGTAATAATCTGCTTAGTGTTGATATATACTGCTGAGTTGCTGACAATTATCTGAAAGAGAAGTTGGGGTGGTTCACTGGGCTGGAAAAAGTTTATCAAAATCATCAAGCAGTTTTAAATAAGCAAGTTTATTCTATATATATAAAAGGCTAAGTTGATTTGCGCATGCTTGCTACATACAAAGCTCTCACTGGGCCATTTTCGTGCATGTGTTTTGATCTGTCATTGTGAATTTGTTTGATACTTTTATCATAGAGAAAGGGTGAATAGTGATATTAAAATATTTTTTTCTAGTTAATTTCCTTTGAATGTGCACAAATCCATGCACTAGTACACTAGTATATACAGTGAGTGGCCAGATTATTATGATCTCTGAACGCATATACATATACATATACATATATATATACACATATACGAGAGAGAGGCCCGGTGCATGAATTCGTGCATGAGTGGGGTCCGGCCAGCCTAGCCAGGGCGAGGGGACGTGGGTGGCTGGCCAGCCTACCTGCTGGTCGAACTTTTGGTTGGGGGGATAATTTGCATATTAGCCTTTTATTATATAGGATATATACTGAGTGGCTAGATTATTATACTTTCAGAGATCATAATAATCTGGCCACTCAGTGTGTATACTAGAGGCCCAGTGCCCAAAATTTATGCATTCCGGAGTTGGGAGGTGGTTCCTCAACCTAGCCTGTACCCTTAGGGGGGCATGTCTGATTGATGGTTTAGGCCCAAGCAGAAATAAAGAAGAAATAAAAGTTATCCAAACTGGGAAAGAAACATAACTCTTTTTTCACAGATTACATGATACTATACATAGAAAACCCCAATTATTCCATTAAAACTACTAGACCTAATAAATGAATTTGGCAATGCAGCAGGATACAAAGTTAAAACTCAGAAATCTATGGCCTTTTTATACACCAATAGTGAATTCATAGAGAAAGTAAAAAAAAATACCATTTACCATTGCACCAAAAAAATTAAGGGACCTATGAATAAACTTAACTAATAAGGTCAAAGACCTGTACTAAGAAAACTACAGGACAATGAAAAATTAGAAAAGAGAAAGAAACATATGGAATAACATACCATGTTCATGGATTGGTAGAAACAACATCACTAAAAGGTCCATACTACCCAAAGCCATTAAAATATTTAATGCAATCCCCATTAAAATACCAAGGGCGTATTTCAAAGATCTGAAACAAACTCTCAAATTTCATCTAGAATTTAAAAAAAGACACTGAATAGCCACAGCAATCCTGAGAAAGAAGAATATAGTTGGAGGGATCAATACCAGAGAAGGGATCACAATAAGCTATATTACCAAGCCCCGGTTCTCAAAACTCCCTGGTTCTGGCATAAGAACAGACATATAGATTAATGGAACAGAACAGAAAACGCAGAAATTGAGCCACTCTGGTATGCTCAATTAATATTTGACAAAGGAGGCAAGAGCATACAATGGAGTCATGACAATCTCTTCAATAAATGGTGCTGGTAAAATTGGTCAGATTCATGGAAAAAAGTAAAACTAAATCACCAACTTACACCATACACAAAAATAAACTCAAAATGGCTAAAGGACTTAAATGTAAGACAGGAAACCATAAAAACCCTTCAAGACTCCGTAGGCAGCAAAATAGCAGACATATCGCATAGCAATATCTTACCAACATAGCTCCTAGGGCAATGGAGACTAAGGAGAAAATAATTGAGTCTACATCAAAATAAAAAGTTTCTGCATATCAGAAGAAACCATTCACAAAACAACAAGAAAGCCCACTGCAAGGGAAAACATATTTGCCAATGCTATTTTAGCTAAGTGTTTAATCTCCAAAATTTAAGAAAACTCATACAACGTGACAAAAGATACACAATCCAATAAAAAAATGGGCAAAGGACCCAAGTAGACACTTTTCGAAAGAGGACATACAGAAGGACCAGATACATATGAAAACATGCTCAAAGTCACTAATCATTCATGAAATGGAAGTCTAAACAATAATGAGATACCATCTTACACTTGTCAGAACGGCTATCAGCAACAAATCAACAAATGACAAATGCTGGTGAGGATGCAGAGGAAAAGGAACCCTCATGCACTGCTGGTGGTAATGCAGACTGGTGCAGCCACTGTAGAAAACAGTATGGATGGAGTTTCCTCAAAAAACTAAAAATGGAACTCCCATTTGACCCAGTGATTCCCACTTCTAGGAATATATCCCAAGAAACTAGAAACACCAATCAGAAAGGATATATGCACCTCTATGTTCATAGCAGCACAATTCAACATAACTAAGATTTGGAAACAACCTAAATGCCCATCAGCAGATGAGTGGATTAGAAAATTATGGTACATCTACACAATGGAATACTATGCTGCTATAAAGCAGAGGAAATTTTTACCATTTGCAACTGCATGGATGGAACTAGAGAGCATTATGCTAAGCCACTCAGAGAAAGATAAATATTGCATGATCTCACTCATATGTGGAATATAATGATCAACATATTTTGATGAACAAAAATAGATCCAGATGCAAATGGTAGGGAAGGTAGGGATGGGGGTTAGAGAGCAACCAAAGTACTTGTATGTATGCATGGATATTAGCATAACCAATGGACACAGATACTGGGACAGTGGAGGTTTTCCCTGGGTTGGAATTGCTTGGCACTGAGGGGTCAATCAGGGAAAAAGAAGACATATGTAAAACTTTAGACAAATTAAAAAAAAAAAAAAAGGATCCTATCTATTTGTAGTTAAGAAACTTCCTACAAATAAAATGTTTGGCCAGGATAGTTTTACAAGTGAAGTTCTTCAAAAACCCAAAGGAAAAGAATATGCATTCTAATTCTTTTTATGAGGATAGCATATCTTTGATAGGAAGCCCTGATGAAGAAAGTTCTCAAAAGATATACATAAAAACAAAATATTAGCTTATTATAACTCTAAAAGTTCATTGATATTTCTTCCCATTGCCAGTCTGTATCCCAATTTGGGCTACCATACATTAGGTATCTCTTTTCTAGCATTTCATAGAAGTGGAATTGTATGCTAGGGGCCCAATGCACAAATTCATGCATCTTGAAAGGAACTGTGGGCCATGAGGCTACAGTAGGCACAGGGGCAGGTCTCAGCCCATCCTCTGTGCCTCCATCCAGCCCCTCCCACCATGATCCTTGTTTCCACTGTCTGCCAGCAGCCCCAGTCTTGCCACTGCTGCTCCCATGCACTGTCAGCGCTGGACCTGCTCACAGCCGCTGATGGCGAGGATCGATTGGGGCTGGTGCCAGCAGTAGGTGGGAGTGGGGCCAGCGCCATCAGCAAGTGTGAGTGGTGACTGATTGCGCCTCAGGAGCAGAGGGAGGTGCAGAAGCCTTCAGGGATGACCAGGGCTGTCAGCCACAGCTCACACCCACTAATAGCCCTAAGTGATCAGGGTCGGTGCTGGCACCGGCAGCGGGTGCAAGTGCCAGGTGGGACCTCGGTGCATGGGAGCAAGGAATTTTCAGTAACCACCAGAGGCTCACCCGATAATGTAGACTAGTTCTCCACCTTGGTCTGGCAACCCTGCTCACCTGTTCCACCTTTTTGTTGTGGGCAACGCCTGACCTGGTGGTCAGCGTATCTCACAGCAACTGGTTGATCAGTTGTTCTGCTGTTCTATTTGCATATTAGCCTTTTATTATGTAGGATACTATCTGTTGTTTAGCTTCTTTGAAGGGAAAAATCAGTGCAGAATGTTGGGCTCATAACAATGCAATTTTCTTATCTCTAGGATCTTACTTTCAACACTTAGCTGATTGGTTAGACCTCCTGTTCTTTCATATTGATGTGTTGTATTTTATTCAACTCTTCTAGTTAGTGTTAATGGGAGGGTGGGTCTAAAATATGATAGTTCATCACAGCCCAAAGCAGAAGAGTTCCAGCAGTGTTTAGTGGAAGTACAAAGGTGCTGAGGTCAAGGGTGAGATGAGTATCCTAATTAAATGGAATCTGGATGGTTCCCCAAGAAAACTGAGCAAACTTGAAAGATTCAAGTGTATTTTTCCCATTAAATATAGGATATATACCACATATTGTTATAGCAATCAAGAGTCAGTATCAGAAACAAGATGCATTAAGTAGGAGGGCATTTAGTGTAGGGAACTAATGATTTCAAATTGTTGGAAGATCGGAAGGAATAAGTTCTAGGCCTATAAGAATAATTTTCCAAACCAGCTGCTCTGTTAGGAAAGCTACTGCCTCATAGGCTGCCACTAGAACTGTACTGCGGCACTGTTGCTGTCACTGCTACTCCACGACCTCGCTTGCTGGCAGCAATAACAAAGAGGCCCAGCAAGAAAGCCTTTCCCACTTCAGCTTTTCAAATTTCACAATTTGTAGCAAACACTACTTGAAGGGAATGTAGGAATTGTAATTTTGGGCTTAGGAACTTTTCCAAATCCTAGGAGGATGGAATGAAAGCGAAGCCAAAATTTCTACCGTGTACATAAGTGAAAAGTCCAGCATTCTTCTAGCATTGGCATCACTGAGTATAATATTTAAACGAGACTTTCGATTTGTACCTTTCATTATTTCATCTGCTAAATGAGCATTTATAGCCTGTGATTTAAATACCCAGAATGCATACCATTCAATTAAAGATTGTGTTTGAGTTAATATTTTAATAGTTATTGAGGACATATAAGATGCCTGACATTACCTTGGTAAGCTCTAAAAATTTAAATAACTTAAAAAGATTGGCATTACCTAATTCCAAGATTATTTTTAAATCATGAAATCAGTTTCATAATCAAGTTTGTATGGAACTTCATATATAATTCTTTTTGTATATTCAAGGACACTTTGTGATATATTCCAATAAATATAGTGATTCAGATCTTGATATGAAAATGCAACTGACATACTCAAGGGCAAAAAACTAAATTTAGCTTCCTCCTGCATTGTCCTTACACTACAACACTGTGTTTGTTGATCTATTTTCCCTTTCTTTTTCCTTAATCAATAAAAGGTTTGAATAAACTCAGGACAATTTACACCAATAATATCTATATGTTTTTTGTATTGTTTTAAGCTAGTGAGGTCTTATAATGTTTTCAATAGCTTTTGATGGTTGAAAACTCAAGGAGAGAATAAAAGCAAACAGAGAAACTGGTAAACTATAGTGATTGTTAGCTTGACTGTTAAGCAATAAAGTGTTTAGGACTAGAAGTTCAAAGGTGTACCATGCTTAAACAGGTTTAATATGATAATGTGGGGCTAGTATTTTTGTATGTCAGATAGATTCTGTTTGTGATTTATAATGATTCTGAATTTGAAATTCAGCTCAGTTTTTTTCTTGCTGTTTGGATTAGAAAGAATTCATTTAAAAGAGCCCTAAGAAAAAACTGATTTAATTTTATTTTAGGGCACAGTAAATGTGAGATTGTATTTCATAAGTATTCTAATAGGATCATTTCAGAGAACAGGGAGCATTTTCTTTAACATTATTTTTATTACCATTCATTTATTCCTTCATCCGTATTAGTAAATATGAATGAAAAAAAAAACACACAATTATATACTTGCCTTTTTTACTTATATTTTATTTTTGTGAATTCTAAGGTTTAATTAGGCTCTAAATGAGCCCTTAGATTTCTTTATTTACCTAACCATTCATTTAATTTCAGAAAATTCTCTGGTAAAATATTTTAATGTTAATGTATGATCAGCAAAATGTTTGAGTGTTTTTCAAATTATTCCTGATTATAACTTTCTTTCATTATCTTTCTCAGATGTTGTCTTTGATTGTTGGGTATCTGTAGTGCTTCACTAAACAAATTTAATTTATTCTGTTTTGATTTCTAGTCAACTTATACATTAATTTGTCAGAGAATGGAAGTGTGGGAAAATACTACAGAATTATAATTAAAATTGTATTTCTTTTTGAGACTTAAAAATGTCAATAATAAAATGTGTTTTAATTCAATTATTTTTCTTTGTCCTCAGGTGGATCTCCATACTTAGCAACCAAAATAAATGAAGCAAAAGACTTGCTGGAAGAAACCACTAAATACTGATTGATGCTCAAGGACTACAATGAAGGGGAAAAGGGGGGTGCTTAAGAAACAAAGACCTGTGTATTTAATCTAAACCACTACTGACCATCGTAATTCCCATGTGCTAACCCTGAATAATTTATTCCACTGTTACATGGTATAATAATAAAAGATTAATAATCTGTCTTTTTATTATCTTTTAAAAGAACACCTTAACATTCTATAACATCTTTCTTATTATCTTATTTTCTCTGTGATAATCATATATTTTAATATTTCTGTCCTATTAGTTTTAAATTCCCCATATTCTTCTCTCCCAAAAAAAGTATTCAAAAAATATGATCCTCAATAATGTAATTGATATTTGTGAGCAATAAATAGAAATGTCTTACTGTTTATACAGAGTAGGCAAAAGTAGGTTTACAGTTACATTGTGGTATTCTTTTGAGTTAATAAAGCTACTGTAAATCTACTTTTGCCCATTCCTATGTTTGTACTCACATTGACCCCATTTTCTCAGAGAAATTTAGTAGTCAAGTGTGTAAGGGGCTGTAAGTATTTTGAGACCTAACATTGACTACTATCCCATGGGGAAATGATCTGAAACTAAATGGAATTTACAGAATGGTATTTTCTAAAGTAGTGGTTAGGACTTGTTAAAGAACTCTGCTCTCTCTGAGACCCTATAGCCGAAGCATGAGAACTTGGAGAGCTACTAAAATGATTAAAGATTTACAAAATGAGCCCTCTGAGGAAAGGCTGAAGAGCTGTGAGAAGTCTGAGGAGTTTGTATTTAATTATAGTCATCAGGTATTATGTATTTACTCAATTATTCATTCAGATATTTATTGACCACTTATAATGTGTAAGGTGCTATTGTGGGCCCTGTGGGAGTTACAGGTGTGAACCAGACATGGATCCTGACCCAAAGGGTCTTATATTTCAAAAAAAGATAAATCACATGAATACTATTAGAGACATATAGATGATATGCTAAGGAAGTTAAAGAGAAGAAAAGAAATATTTTAAACTGAGAGCAATAAGGAAGCTCCATAGAATAAGTGGCATAGAGCTGAACTTAAAAATAATAATAATAATAAGCAATATTGTTTTTATGTGATCTCAGTATTTTTTTCTGAGATCAGTCAGAATAACAGAAGTGGGACATTTATTACTGTGAGTACAGTGTGGGTTTCTCAAAAGCAAAGGGTTAACATATGGTGTTGAGGGGCTGGCCCTTTGGTTTACACTGAATTAAATTACTTTCTTAAAACAGCCACTGGTCATCATCACTTTACTATTCCAAAGGGGAGGAAACAGAGTCAGATACAGACTTACCAGCATTATTTCCTAGCATGTACTACTTTACAAATTCTGAGTTCATCCCAGATAAACTGAACTACTCTATTTTATCTGTCAAAATAATTTTTAATATCTAGATGCATCTTTGGTTTATTGCATCCTGTAGTTCGGAAGTTCTCTATGTTGGCAATATTTTCAGTATTGAGTTGAATAATTCCTGTTTGTGGGAGCTCTTCTGTGCAATGTCAGGTGATTGGCAACATCCATGCTTGTACCTGCTAAAGACCAGTAGCACCCCCTCAGTTGTGACAACTACAAATTTTTACAGATGTTGCCAAATGATCCCCTGATTGAGAGCCATGCTATAAGTGTGTAGTATGTTTTCTTTTGGCACATAAGTGTGTAGTATGTTTTCTTTTGGCACATAAACTAATGGCCTGACTCAAAGCTGATGGAATTTCAGAGTTTGTAAAATATTCTTGCTTTAAAGTATCCTTGCACATCTTAATTTAATTGTGCTTTATTGTGCTTTGGTGTTTTTCGTTTTTCTGCTCACTATTATCTTTGTACCTTAGATGCCCTTCTGAGCCTCAGATCTTCACATGCTCAAAGTATAGAGGTCCTGAAGGCCAAGCTAAAATGTATCTCTTATTTTCTGGTGCTTCTAGTAAAAGTAATATGAATCAACTCTCTGAGAGCAGGGACCATATCTTTCTTGTTTACTGCTACATTGGCATCCAATAAATATTAGTTGAGTGAATGAATGAATATATTCCCACACCACTTTATTCCTCACTTTATAGTACTTATGTCTTAGGACTGCGTGTAATATGCCTTATTTCTCCATTAAAGAACCTTTCGAGCAAAAATGTTGTCATTTATCTTTGTAACCTCTTCAGTGTGGAACATTGTATTTAGTAGCATAAAGTTGTAAGTACTAAAAAAATTTTTCTGAATACTATACTTCACAAAATGTTATTGCTAATTTTGAAAGTTATGCTAAGCAATATATTGGCACCCTGAGGACATACCTTTTAATTGACATATTTCCTAATACATACTATATTCATGAGAATTTGAGTCCTCAACATTAACTTGGAATTTCTTTCATTCCCATTTTCCTCCAAGCATGCACCTTAGAGTAAGATATGGTTTTGAATATTATCCTTCTATAACATGATCTTGGGTAGTGTCTGTAATTGTCTCATCTATAGAATAGAGGAAATAATAATCCTAAATTGGTATCTTAGGAAATAAGGATGTGTAAAGCATTTAGTCACATAGCAAGTATTCAAAAAGATATAAATATTACTTCTTTCACTGCTCCTTTAAATTTGAATCTTTGAATACCTTTAATTAAGGTTTGAGGTGTGTTCTAGTAATCATCTTACTCTTGAATCTGCGATTTGGGAGCACATGGTGGGGGTGGCTCGTCTCTATTTCATGCGGCCTCAATTGGGGCAGAAGGAGCCACTTCAAGTGAGTGCTGGCTGGGAGCCCTGGGTCCTCTCCATAGAGGCTTCTCCAGTGGCTACTAGAGTATCATCATATGATGGTAGAAAGTGGTCCAAAGAGACAGGAAGGGGAAGCTGCAATTCCACCTCGATCTGAACACTGTCAGTCATAGAGCCTGCCTAGATTTCCAAGGGATAGGGAGGACTGTGAAATAATCAGTGGTCATCTTTACTATGTGTCAGGGCAGGATTTGGGTCCCCCCAACCCTAGTCAAATCAGTTAAGACATTGTGTTTTTTGTTGTTGTTGTTTTGTTTTAATTATCTGGAATGTAGAATTTAAGTACAACTACCTGAAACAGTCTCAGATGATACAACTGCTATTTTAAGTAGATATTAATTCAGTAGTCATTCTCTAAGTGGCAGTGTCATAAAATTGGATTTTAAATAGCTACCCCTCCCCCATATTATCTGTAAAAGCTTATTTGAATGGTTTCCTATCTTCAGTAAAGATTGCTTTTACATATTTGCTGTCATTGCATATTCTTAAGTAAGTCTTTGTTGCTATTGCAGCTTCTGTTTATTCTTATATCTTAGATGCAATCTGAGGGAGCAAGAAAGACCTTTAAAAACAAAGCAATTTCTTAGATTCCAGAGAAAGTGTAAGTCAAATGAATAGCTAATTAAAGGGGAGTCCAGGATGCCATTTGACTATGGTTCATGATGCCAATTTCCAGCATAAAGTCAGAAGTGGAGAGGAGTTACTAAGGGAAAAGTGCGTCAATTGTGGAAGATTGTCTTATTTACTCTTAAACCATTTATTTGATTTGAAATGCATTTTAGTCATTCAGCAAATATGCACATTTACTATGTCATGCAGTAAAGATATAAATTCATTCTTAAAATGTAAGGTATGCTCGAACTAAATAGAAAAGATTCTTAAACATGGAGAGTTTTTTGTTTTTAGTTTTTTTCTTTGTGTATGTGTTGTTGTTTTGTTGATGTTGTTGTTTTTGTTTGTTTTGTTTGTTTTTGGTACTTTTGAATTAAGAAACAGAAGTGTGTGATTTCCCAGCAGGGTCATTAGAAATAACATATTTTATCCAAGTACAAAAATCCTTTGGTTGTCAGGAAACCTTGAACACAGTGAAGAGCTTTTAATGACATATCTTCAACACAGTTGTCAATTAGCTTAAGGTAGTTTAATGACATTTGTCAGAGAAGATGAATTAGCCAAGCCCTTGATGTCAAAGATGTAACGTTTCTTTGACTCAACCCATGTAAAACGAACTACAGAGGCTGAGTGAGGAGTGAAAATCCAAGCAGGCCAGCTCATTTCACACCGTGGAACCATGCTTTCGCAGGCACTGCACTGCACTCAGCAGTCACCTCTTGAGATAAGGCCTCTGCTGCATGGGGGGTTTGATGGCAGTGAGTAAATGTGTCAGCATCAAGCCTCCCTCCTAATGGAAAGGCAACCAAAAGAGCATATCTCATTAACACTAGATCTGTATCATGTACTTGTCAAAAACATTACATGAATTATGAGCTAAAATTACATTTCTGGTGGAGTTACACATAATATGAAATTAAGATTTTTGTTAGAATAATTTATTAGCTGGTAAAATTGAGAAGGTTTTCAGGGCTCATTTTTTTTTTAAGGTAGAATCTAAGTGATCTGGATTATTGCCTACCAGTGAAATTGCTGGGCAAGGTAGACCAAGAAAATGTTCCTTCTAATGATTTTTATGAACTGAGTAGCTATTGTTCCCAGCTAAGTGCTCTTTGCCTTTTTATATTGTAACTGAGCAAAAGAATTTATAAAAAGCTTTTAAAAATATTAAAAACCCTGCTCAATTGAAATGTAGTTCAAGTACTGTTCATTTCTCTTCCTGCCATGATAACCCTTTCCTCCTCTGCTCTGCTGAACATTGCCTAGCAGCACTGGTCAACATTGGAAGTCTGAACAGACTATGATACAGATAGTCAATCTCCAGCATTCAACATTGGCAGGATAAGATTACTCAAGATAGGTGTTAGCCCAAAATTTCAAATTCTTACCTCAACTTAGAGAAAGAAAGTGCCCCTGGAAAATAAAAATCAACAGTGGGAAACTTAACTTGATTTTGACATGATGAAAGTCATCTTGAGATACTGGTGCAATGCTGACATCTAAGCTTTAGTGCTAAAGACCAACAAATTAGAATCTGCTACTTTTCATTAATCCAAAATAATTTTTAAAGTGTTACTGATTTCAGGGAGAGGGGGAAATTGATTAGTTTCCAGTTTTTC